GCACGGAGGATAAAAGCCCGCGGGAGGAACAGGGCTGATGATTAGGGCCCGAATCTACCCCTCACTATCACTCCCCTTTTCTAATCATTTCAACCTTCTCATTATAAGTACATCACCATCATCAATACCATGTCATACCCCTTCGAAGCCATCGGTATCATCTCCATCGGGGAGATGGGTCTGGGCATAGCCCAGCTCCTAATCGCCCATCATTACCGAGTCCTGACCTATGCGGCCGATCGGAGGTACTATAATCAGTATTCCCCCTCCAGATTGACATTGCAGCTAACCGCAATTCCCCACAGCGAAGCCACCCAACGCCGAGCATGGGAAGCAGGCATTGAGCTCCGTCCCTCGATGCAAGACCTGGTCGACCAGAGCGACTGCCTCCTCTCCATCGTTCCACCAAGGGACGCACTCGCAACCGCCCGGCGCATCGTGGAAGGATCGTCCGCGCGGCCCTCGATCCGCGATACCCCGCTATGGGTGATTGATCTGAATGCCGTGTCGCCAAAGACAGCGCGCGAGATAGAAGCACTCATTACTGAAACAAGTGGGACATCGTCATCATCTTACCTCCGCTACATTGACGGGGGCATCGTGGGTGGCCCACCGCGGCCATTGCAGCCAACCAACCCCAACGAACCAGCTTGGCATTGTCCCAGCTTGATAGTCTCCGGTCCCGAGCAAATCCCAGACGAGAAGTTATCCCGCACGTTGAACATGAAGCATATCTCGGACCGGATTGGCGTAGCGACCGGGTTGAAGATGTGCTTTGCTTCTCTGACTAAGGGGTTTTTCGCGTTGGCTATTCAATCGTTTACTACGGCGCATTCGATGGGTGTGCTTCCGCAGCTGCAAGAATTGATGGAGGAGTACAATGCGGCGACGCTGCGGATAGCGGAGAAGGGGGTGGTAGGGATGCCGCCAAAGGCGTATCGGTGGGTGAGGGAGATGAAGGAAATTGGGGATACGATGAGGGATGACGGGGGGTTTGAAAGTGATTTGTATGTGTGATCCAAATACTTCCTGGTATAGTCATGGTAATTATGATGCTGACTGGCCGACTTGTGTGTGTTTTAGGTTCTACGCCGTGGCTCAGGTGTATCAGACCGTCGCGGATGATCCTATCCTGGGACAAGAGAAGCCGGATGATCGACAGCGGGGGAAGACGGTCGAGGACGTGGTGGAGTGTTTGGATAAGAGCTTGAAGGTGAAGAAGGATTGATTGATTGACTCCATCGACGAATTATATGTATGTATGCATTCTATTGCTTCTTTTGGATATATCATATCCATACCATGGACATCATGCGTTCATAGCTTGACGGGATGGGTACCTCTCTCACTGTCAATCCCAGTGATAACCTGAAGTGTGTGATATCTTCCGAGTTCAGGACTTGTCCTAGCCTATGGCGTAGTACAACTCACCGCCGCTACAGCAACGATATCCACAGAGAATGGATTGACTAACCATCCAGGTCGATCAATTCGCCCCCGCACTTGCTAACCCGTGCATACTACTGCGATTCAACCATAGTGTGGATCTCCCAGGTCCACCCTGGAGAAGGGACCTGCAGCTCTAAGTGTCTTTCACCGATTGACTGTCTCCAACGGGATGCTTTGCAGCTGCACGTTCCCACTTGACCTATCGGTGTGGCTCCAGTCCGTTGATCGACACAGAGAGAGGGGAAAAGACAGTAATAAAAAGAAAAACAAATACAGGAAAAGGAGGCGTGGAGCAAGTGTGACAGCCACATGGCAGCAAGAAGACTCTCTCCACTTGCCTGACCAGGGTGGGTGTAGCACTGAGGAATTGCCTGCGGGTTCAGTCCACATTGTGTGCTAGGGAATGCCTGAGGCTAGGGGGATATTGTGGGGGTGGTAATGGTAACTGCCTTAGGCTACGTGTATAAGTTGAAAGTCTGGGAGAGTGCTAGGAAGAGCCCAGGAAGATGGTCCTGTTAAAGTTGTATGGAGAATGTAATGTGAATGCACAAGTGTTTAAATTCTGTCACGCAAGGATGCCCCATGGCATCCTGTTTTGCACTGGTATCACTAAAACTAAGTAACAGAAGAGTAAAAAAAAAGCAAGGGGGGAATAATAACGATTAGAACTCCCTAGACCGTGGTCTCAGAGAGAGCCGGCTATGCTCTAAAATCGCGTAGCAGGTATCAAAAAGCGTGAAAATGCTTCCAAACATTTTATATTCATGACCATGCAAAAGATTCCATGCTTCACCCTTACTCCGACTCGCGGGCGGAGTTGGAGCCCGAGACCTCGGCGGTGGTAACCTTCTCCTCGTCGCTGGCACCTCCGAAGCCGTACTCCATGGCCTTCTGCTCGACTTCGTCGTCGGTGAGCTTGGGCAGCTCGTGGGCAGCGCGCACGTAGCTGATGTTCTCGGTGTAACCCTTAGCGAAGATGATATCGATCTCCTCCAGAGAGCGGTTGGCGGTCTCGGGGTAGAAGAACCAGATGAAGGGGATGAACAGACCGTTCAAGACGGCGAAGAACAGGTAGGTACCCCAGCCAATGTGGGAGACCATGACTGGGGTGATCATGACAATCAGGAAGTTGAAGAGCCAGTTGCTGCAGGTCGAGACAGCGTTGGCCTTGGCACGAGTCTTGATGGGGGACAGCTCAGCAGGGTACAACCAGGGCAGAGGCAACCAAGCGGCACCGAAAGCGGCCATGTAGAGGAACAGACCGAAGACAGCACCCTTGGCAGTCTCCTGGTCACCAGGGATCAAACAGGCAAAGGTGATAACCATGGCAATGCACTGCAGGAAGGATCCACCCAGGAAAAGCTTGCGACGACCGATCTTCTCAATGAAGAACCAGGAGAAGGTGGCAAAGATGGCGTAGACAATCATGTTGACACCACCAATGACCAGGGAGAAGTTCTCAGTCTCGCCAAGGGAGTCCTGGAGCAACACAGGCAGGTAGTAAATGACAGCGTTGCAACCACCGAGCTGCTGGAAAATCTGCGAGGAGGAACCGATGATCATACGACGGAAGTGCTGGGAGCGGCCACCAGTGAGAAGGTCACGATATCCGACGTCCTTGCCAGCGGCGTTCGAACTGGAACTTGGTGTTAGCTAGTTGTGCCACGCGTCATCCACCCATTTTTTCCCCCCTGGGCAAACTTACGCTCTGATGGAGTCAATGACCAGCTGCTTCTGGAGCTGGGTCTCGTGGTCGTGGATCTCCCAACCACCCAGGGCGGCAAGCACGTACTCACCCTCCTGGACGCGGTCCTTGGAGATGAGGTAACGGGGAGAGTCGGGAAGGAACCACATGCCGAAAATGATGATGAGACCGAAGAAGATCTGGAAAGCGATGGGGAAACGCCACACCAGGTCCCTGTTACCGAAGTGGGCACCGTAATCAATCCAGTAGGCAATCGCAGTACCGATGGCAATGATACCACCCTCGATACAGATGAGCAGACCACGGTTGCTAGTCTTGGAGCACTCGGCCTGGTAGGTCGGGATAGTGGAAGTGTTCATGCCGTTACCGATACCGGTGATGACACGACCAATGAAGAACTGCAGAAGAGGAATGTGACCGGCATAAGAGGTGACCTGAATGACGACACCAATAATCATGACAATGGCACCCGAGAAGATCATCCATTTACGTCCAGTCTTGTCACCGAAGAAGAGCGCGAACATAGCGCCCACCAGACAACCTGTGCGACGAGACGTGTTAGAATTGGAGGCCCGCAATTGTAACTCGTTAGGGAGATATTTGCGACTAACCTAATTCATAAACGGATGTAACCAAGGCCTGCATGGTAGCGTTGTTCTTGGTGGCAGTGAAGAGGTCTTCGAACGCGGTATCACTGATAATACCGGACATGACACCCTCTAGACATTTTTAAGATTAGCATGTGATCCGGATGGCTAGATCGGGGATAGCCGGCGAGGGAGACTCACGATCATAACCGAACAGCAAGAAACCCATCGTCGCAATTGTCGAGACGGCCAGGGACAGTTTCCTGCCCGACAGGCCAGCGTAGGTCGGCGCCATTGTGAAGTGATGCTATGCGAAAGAGTATTGTTGTGTCTGTTGTCGAGATATATGACCAATCGATGAGGACAATGGTCATGAATCTGGGAAGCGATCAAACACTTAAGTTGACTCGCTCACTTCTCCAAAAGGGAACTCCTGTCGCGTTGCTCCTTTTGCTGTTGTCCTGGTCGAAAAGGAGGAGGAGTTGTGATGTGACACAAGAAAGAGAAGAAAAAATAAAAACAGGACTGGAGCCAACGCGGAGAAGACGGGGGGAAGAAGGGGGGTTATCTACTTTCTCGAAGACGACAGGCCTGTCGGTTGTGGCAAGCATGCATGTTGGCCGACAATCTCTTATCCCCCGAACTGAATTAAAACTAACTAACTGGAGAGGAGGAGGAGAAGGAGGAGGAGGGAGAGCTCCACCAAGCTACGCAGACCCATAATGAGCCGTACCATTGTTTGTTTTGTGGAGCAGGGGACCGGATGCATCAATAACGCTGGGTTAAGCATCTTTTTTGGCGCAGTCCCGTGGCCCACTTGTGGATGCGCTGGAAATGCAGTGAGCAATGACATCACGCAGCCCGGTCTTGGTGCCTTTTCCCCTTGGGTAATCTAAAAAGGAAATTAAATAAATGAGAAAAAAAAGTAACTCAATATTCTGTTTTATTTGTTAAACCAGCGGAAAAAGAAAAGCAGAAACATTACAAAAAGAAAAATCCCAAGCATTCAAATTCGGGAAATAAATAAGAAAGGTTCGAACACAGCAAAAAAAGGGGGAACCATACATACTGGTCATTTATCCACGGATTGTACACAGATAGTCTAACATTCGGGTCGGCCCCTGTATCTTCTTATTGGCCATTCAGTCCTTTGAGTAAGTTAAGTAATACAATGTACAAAGTACAGGCACAGGTCAGATTCTCTCATTCTCCTATTCTACCACCAAGGTGACAGTAAATCTTTTTTCCACTCCATTCGATATCCATCCCTCCCTTCTGGGCTGATGGATGGCTTCACACCATCTTCTCCTCCACCACCATCCACTATCATCAACATCATCATCATCATCATCAACCAACTACCACCAACCCGAGGACACCGTGCGGCTCCACTTTTCCATGATCCTGCCCTGAAAAAGCCGCCAGCCTATGAGAGCGGACGTGCGCGCACGCCCTGGCCAATCGTTGCCGCGCCCGTCCATCGTTGCGGGAACCTGAACCCAAACGTGGAGCTGACCGCGCAGGGCTGACCTGCCTATTTAGTAGCCCTCGTTGTCCGAAGGTAGCAACTTAAGCGAGGGAAGGAAAGGCATTGCCAAAATCCCACGGGGAAGTTCGCCTAACTCTCAAGTGAGTTAGTTAATTAAGCTAGATTGGATGTTGGCTGAATAATCGCCGCCCATCGTGTTATGTGTGTAACTGTAGTAGGCAGGCTGAATGCGGGCGCCATTGTGCGTTCAGCATTTCAGCCGCCAAAAGTCCACTCATCTTTAACCGCATCCCCCGTCATTCAAGGGTCAATCATATCGGGCCGTCACCACCTTTTTTTCCCAGCATGAAACCGCAACATATTCTCATACCGTAGCGAACTTACCTACCCTCCTACTCATCTGCCGTCCCGAATCCTCGCGTCACGAAAAGCAGACGGCTTGAATGCAACGAGATTCGGCCGTCGTTCGGGAAGCCGTTTCCGTTGGGTTTCCCGACCGCGCCTAGCGTCCTTCATCCTGCAAGGCGAGACACCTCATGCGCCAATGGAAAGATGAAGTTAATAATGATATCTACAACAGTATGAATAAGCTCTGGCCCAAAGAGGTTTAACCTGGAGGGGAATGGTAGGGTAAAGGCTCCTCCTTCATGGTGCTTTAGGAGGGAGGCTTTGCATGATGATTCGACGCCATCCTCCACCGTCGGCTGGGAGGCTCCACCCCGCACCGTCTCTGGCCGCGACGGTGTCTCCAGCTCCCCAATTTTTCCCTTTCTCTCTCTCTTCTCCCCCACCTCCTACTAAGTGAACTAGTCTATACTATGGGCCAATATCACCCTCTCTCTCCGCGTCTCCATCTCCATCTCCATCATCTCTCTGATTTTGGCTCGAATGGAGCTAGCGTTCCGAGGGTGAGAGAAGGATGTAACCGCTACAGCATTTTCTTTTTTTTTTTTTTTTTTTTTTTTTTTTTTTTTTTTTTTTTTTTTTTTTCTTTTCCCCTCCTGTTGATTTACCCTTTTCGTCAAGTGATTCTCTCTCCTCCTTCCATTTCCGATTGTCAGCGACATCTGCCAATTGCTAGCATTCCATGCCTTTATCCAATGATTCTCAAATTCACATCTCCACCGAATGCCGGAAAAAGACTTAGATCAAACTGTCCGCTGGCCCGTCCTAACACCTTCCCTCCGACAACACGCGCAGAGCAATATGATTAGCCGTGGCTCACTGCATGAGAATTGAAAAAACATCGATCCATCCCTTCGTATTTTTATTTCCCCATGAGACAAGCCAAGAGCAGGCAGCGGAATTTCATAGCGACAGATGTGGAAAAGTAATATTACTATTATCTCTCCTAACAGACAGACATCCTGCAAGGTGAGCTGCAAGCCTGCTACATAGTCGCACCTCATAGTCTCCACCGGTGCTAATTGGATCTAAGATATCACTCTTCCCATTTTTCTCTCTCCCAATAATGCAAACTCTGACACTTGACAGTCGACACTCTGTAGTCCCGTAAGGAAATTATGCGCCCGGATCTGCCATCGTCTTTCCTTCCCATGGTCGCGCAGCTGAACGTGCCTGTCAGAGATCTCGTGGCGAATCCTTCCACCCCTCCCATCCCCATCATTGCCCCCCTCTCTTCCACCCCCCCGGAAAACCCTGCGTGAAGTCCCCCATTTTTTGCCGGGCCAACTACGTCAATGGCGTTCCGGTATACCCGCACTGACCGCGAAAACTCGGCGCCAAGGCGACAAGCCAGAGAAGAAATACCGAAGCTCATCGTATTTCGCCTTGGTATAGGAACAAGAGTCGACCAAGAATCGACAAGTCTTTCTCGGCAAAAAACGGGGTGGGGGCTCTGGCGCAAAGGGAAAAAGGCATGTGGGGGGAAACAGAGAGGCGGACCCGGTTTTTCGAGGAGATCGAGTGGATGCGGTCGGGGGGGCTAAAACATCGCGCGCCGACCGAAAATCGTCATCTTCCCTCGGCCCTCAGCCTTTCCATTGGCTCCCTCCCAACTCGGTTGACTGTTCCTGTGTCGGAACCAAACCCAAGATTGGCTCATTCGAGGGTAGCACAATCTGACTTTTCTGGGTCCTCCCCTCCTCCTCCTCTCTCTCTCTCTCCAGAACGGAAAAAAGTAGGTCTCCATCACGCACATGGCCCCATTCCTCTCGGATGCTCGTAGGGGAAATTAATTTCACCGACCAAGAGACAGACTGCATGAATCTAGCTATCTAGACTAGAGTCTAGCCTAGAGAGACATGTGTGTCTTTCGCCGACTTGCGCATTTTTTTTTCCGGAACACGGCGGATTCCCGGATAACGAATCATCGGCACGGAATCGACCACCCAAGGGTCCACCTAAACAGTCAAACTGCGTGGAAGCTGTTGCTCGGGTCGAATAATGACGATGATAATTTTCCTTGCGCCGGCGCGAACAGACCAACCGGGTAAAAGAAACGACCTGGAAAACTAAGTAGAGTAACACCACTCAGGAGTGAGTTCGCAGCCGACTAAGTGACCGGCACATGCTGTTTGCTGGATAGTTCATGATGGTGATGATGGGGACAATGACGCTGCATCATCATGCGGTTTAGTCTCTGCTTTGTCCGAGCGTATCTGCTGCCTAAACAGCGGCGAACGACGCTTTTCCAGGATGCACTAGTCAAATGAGTCTCTGCGGGCTAAACCGCCGATGATGATGACATCGAAGCGACTGTCAGTCAGTGCTGTATCAGCTGTCTACCTATTGTGGAAAAATAAGAGCTCTAGCATTAGCTGCAGGCATCAACGCCGTAGTGCCTACCTCCAATGGACGGGGAAAACACGAGGATTTCTCGGGTTGGCTGGTTCATGCCCATCTCTCCGAGTGGGTGCATTTGTCGCAGTTCTACTAAGATACGCACACGCATACAGCGCCGAACGGAAAGTCGCCGTCCAATATTGGGCGAATAATTTTCCTGGGAAATACTCGGTTCCTAGCTGACCACATTTTTCCTTTTTTTTTTTTTCTTTTTTCTCTTTTTTCCTGTTCCCTTTGTGGAAATCAAAGAAAAAATAAAATCAGGCTGAAAACATCTCGACGCAGACGGCCCGATTGTTGAGACCGGATGGGTTGATGGTCGGCCTTGGCTCTCTCAAGTTCTCAACGCAAGTCGGGAAGTTCGACGGAAACCTTGACGCTTCAGGAAGATGGCCCGCCCGAAGGTGCGGAAAGGAAAAATTAAATCGTTGCTTTGGGCCGGTTTTGTTGTGTTGCGAAACAACCGTTCCCGCCATTCACTCGTATCACGTAAGAAGTCATCGTCTTGGTCTGAGAAAAGGTCGGCCTGAGGTTATTGGAGGGGCACAAGTGGACATTGGCACAATAGTCGAGTTGTTGACTGAGTTTTTCGGTTAAGTAAAAGGTAACGAGAAAGAGAGCAGACTTTGCTCTTCCTTGCCTTCACCCGAGACCAAGTTCACACACCGAAGGCTTGTCTCGAAGATATTTTGCTGTTGTGTCACCGGTGCAGCCTTGTGCCTGTTAGTCATCAATCATCCGTGTAGCGAGCCGAGCTTGGCACTTTGCGACAAGTTATGGACCAAGCAGTCAATTGTGAATCGAACAGAGAAAGACATAAACTGCAGCAATAAATTTGAAGGGGAAAGCCCTGAGGATTTATACTGCGCTCTAGCTCCCAGCTTTCAGTCAGGGAGGAAAGGGGGAATCGGGAGGCCGATGCTTCTTATACACAACAGCGGACTCGGCACGCCGGTGCCGAGTGTCAGAAAAGGCCATCTCGGTCTGGATGCCGGAGGTCTCGGAGGGTCGAGTCACGAGGACAGCCACAACGGAAGAGAACTAGATAGAAAGGATGGAAGCGAAGAGGAGACTTGATTGCCAATAATAACTATTCCGGGAGGGGGGTTCTAACTGCGTCTGGCTTCACCTGGGATCAAAACAGGGCATGGGCGCGATCCCGTTGTTGTTGTAGTAGAAGCGCGAAATGGTACGCATGACAGCTGCGACGGTTCTAGAACGCCCTCCGAGCTTTCAGAGCTGGTAGGTAGATAGGCGTCAAGCCAGGAAGAGCCTAGGCGATTGTTGACTGGTGTGGGTAGGTCGGTGGTGTGATTTGGTATGTATTTATGTATGTATGTATGTGTTGTTGATACTTTGTCTTTTTTATTGACTTACTATCTACTGGTGAATTATAACGTCTGCTGTTGAGTGGCTTAGGTTGTAGTTACCTAGAAACTCCGTATTTCCGGTTTAAATCCTGAGCCACTGGCAAACGTTGTCTGGACACACGAGAGGCACGGCTTTTCTCATTTGCTGGACTACCCACGTGTAGACCTTGATTGGGACCACCTTGATTGTTGATTACAAAACCATGCACAGGCACTACATAAATACTTTGTACACTTAATACATTTCATCCTACCTTGCTGAATGTGCAGATGAAATCCTCCGTAGAGTTTGATGTTGTTTGCGATGACTCGGCATTGTTTCTCTGATTAGACAAACAAAAAAGAAGAAGAAAAGTACTTCGGAACTCAGTCTAGAATTAAACACTAATATGATAAGTATTTATTCTTCCCTGTCTCGCACTCTCATCTTCCAGTGCATTCCTGGACTGTTCGAAGACCCGATCGGTAGGTGACACTGCATTCATCCGGGAGACCTGAATGCATGCAGCCACAGGGCAAGACACGGACAGAGTCTCCACACCATCATTGGCATCCACAACCCCCTAAATTATTGCAGGGCTCACCCGATGTCTTGTGTTACCTCCCACCCGTCTCTTGACTCCTTGCTTACTTGAGGTAATAAGCGACCTCACTTGGTCCAATCTCGGGGTTGGATATACGTATCAGACATCCAGCAGGAGGTATGTGTAGTTGACTCAATAACCTATCCTTCGCAAGGAGTTCAAGTACACAACTAATATAATCCCGCGGCGTAACACCCCTGGAATGCCAGGCTAGAATCACGCCACAACACAACATTCCAGCCAGCCACAGTGTTCGATAGATGGACGGATTTTCGCCGTCTCCAGAAAGTAGTAGTACCAATAAACAAATAACTTAATTATTGGAATGCCGCTACTCTCCTGTCGAACCTTATCTGAGATTCAGCCGGCTGGTCGGGTCCGTTCTGTGCTCCTTGCTTGGGTGGTACTGAGCTTTGGGTGTGAGTACTAGTACTAGTGCTAGAAGCGGAATAAATTTGTTCTGTTCGGTAGTAGATAGTCATGTTAATAGTTACGACGGAAGTTAACTGCTGCATGGGGAACTTACTGTAACTATCTATAGAGTTTCCCTAGTGTCTAACTTTTTTTGAGACTATCTAACCAGTAGAGTATTACTTATTGTCTGTCAAGTTCAGGGGCAAGTGTCAAATGTATCCATCTCTTCGGGACGAGTCAACTAGTGTGGCGTGGGGAGAAAAAAGCAAGCACGTTTGTTCTCAACAATTCGTACCCAGCTCCGATCACGCAGAGTATTTTAGGCAATGTAGGCAGCCGTTCGTGTTGGCATCGTATTTGCTGATCGTCGAGCCACTGTAACCCTGGTGGGATGGTTGGGTCTGGCCGGCCTCGATAATACTATGTTTGCATCGTTCGGTAATTATGTGGCTTGCAAAAATTCAACTGGCTAGTGCATATGTAAATAGTACGTTTGATGAGATATGCCATCGGCCGAGGGCAGGGTCTGGACTTCTGTTATGGATTGACAGTAATGGATTTTTCGAAATGACCATTGAATTGTTCGGGGGCGCATCGTGCATAATGGAGGTAGTTGTTGGTGAGGATATACTACTAGTACTACATACCACTTGAGACTACTATATATATACAGCTAGTATGATACGCGGATGATGATCACCAGCTACTACTGTTTACCACATGAATAGGAATCAATTGTATTATTACTATGGACGAAGTTCCTCCGAGACAATTTATTACTTCAGTTCGATTATGATCGATGGACTCAAAAGTTGCCTGCACATAATGGAATTGTGCTTATTCCCCCCCCCTTTGGTCTGACCTCAGACGATCCCATCGCGTGTTTCACGTGGCTGTTTCGATCGACCAGCTGCAGGCTTACTTGCAGACTTCGCTAAGTTCTTCGTACTGTCGAATTGCTGGGGATTCGACTCTTCTCCCGCGACAGCATACTCGAATCGCAACTCCGCGAAATTGAACTGTATGAGACCCTAGAGATAAGTATTTACTTGTCGGGATGCCGAACCACCGCACTGACAGGAAACGAACTCCAGCGCCTCAGGCATCGACCATACAGATAACCCCAGACTGACGTCGCAACTGTCACAAAAAGCGTCCGTTCATCGCCACGCTTGTCGCGCCCGACGATCTTCGCTCACGCAGGGGAAAAAAAAAGCTAGACTACCTTCCAACACACGTCTCGATCCTCGCGAATAGGAGACTGGACTCTTCTAACAAATGCCTCAAAAGCCCCATGGCACAGGCACAAATGACGTCGACAAGGCACGGACCTGCTGGGATAACCTGAAACTACGACTACTGAACGGCTGACGGAGCGAAAGCCTTGACCCCTGGGGTATCTTTTGAGATCCCTGCCAGCCTCGCCCTACTTCGAAACCCCGTCGCATCCATCGGCAGACTTACCTCATGGACATCGCAGAAGCGACACTGTCATCTGATTGTAATCCACGCCAGAAAATCCAAGATGATTCGTTCTGAACCCTAACAACGGTCTTTTCTTCAAAGGAGGATTTCCCTGGTTCATCGCCGCAATCCTTCCGAGGTCAAAACTCTGACTTGACGCACCCTGAGTTCGCACCTTGGGTGCAGCAGGCTAACTTGCCGAGAACGGGTCTGGCAAGAAAAGCACCTCGCAGCGCGAAATTAACACGACCTCGTTTTTGTCCACGCGAGAGTGCGATCATCCCTGGCCCAATGAGCGTGGTTCAGCCATGGGTCTCGGTATGACTCCAAATTACCCCCACAGCCGCGTCAACCCGAAACCCGGAGAAGACCGCATGAGTTGGTCGGGCGGGCGCATGTGGCACTTTCTTTCCCACCTTTGGGGGCCGGGGCAAGAAATGGGTCCCCTCCCTCGTCTCCAGGCTCCATGTTGCCCCGGTGCTTATTCAATATGCCTCAAAAAGGGAACCAGGGCTGAAGTGCTCGATGATCATCTGACCAGGGGGGTCGTCATTGCTCACACCCGGTTCATTATCACCTCAGTAAAAATAAGAATTATTTTTGTTTTCTTCCCTCCCGGGTGGCCGTCCAATCAAAACTCGGGATAAAGTCTTTTCCATTCTACTACTACACAATGCATTTCTACCTCCGTCCTTTGATGCCGAAAAAGCAAATCCGGGACATACGATGTAGAGACATCGTTTAATTTCATGATACTTTTCGCAGTACCCAACCGACCCGAAGAACGAAAAGGCGGGTTTTCCACACGCACATGTGGACTCGTCGTTGCAGCAAGCCTAATGGCCAAGGCCCCATACCTAGCCAAGCCCCATAGCCAAGTTGAGTTCGCTCGAATGCGGACTGGAGGAATACGCTTCCGCCTCACGACGCTATATTACCCGTACTAATGGCGAATTTGAGGGGAACTGAGACATGTAAGAGACTAAGAGCCAGCCAGTTCAACGGCAGTTGCAAAGGAACGAGCTTTTGCCACACCGCCATCGTAGACTCAGCTGCCTAACATGGCTAGTGCCTTTTTTTTTCCATCGTTATAGCCTCGGCTCCGTGTTACGGGAGATGGATCCCGGGTTCGCGCGAGTGTCGCGACAACCTCAAGATCATACGTATAGTTGAGGAGCCACCGATCGGTCGCTGTCTGCTCACGATCTGTAGGTAGTATGGACGTTCACTATCATTCGGGTAGAAAACAGATTCATTCACTGAGATATCGCCGTTCAGTAAAATATTGTCTATTGAGCGTAGAATATGAGATCTTGCGTTGGATCCGTAACGCTGACTCTTAGTATATGACCTCATGCTCATGTATTGCATGAAAACTACTAGAGCGCGTTATAGAGGATCATTTATAAGTCGTATGACTTGAATCGTAGCCTTGATTGCGTTTGTGATGGTATGGGCTTCGGGGAAATAAGATAAGTAATAGTATAGAACGAAGCTATTACTGTACACATAGTGTTTCATCACTTATATATATATATATATATATTGTCAATCTAGTGATTAGTATACTACATTTCTTACTCGCGAAGCCCCCTTAATATTTTCTTCAGTGACATATACTACATCAGTTTCCAATAGTAGGTATCATACCCAATCATCATATATAAGTATATATATATATGCTATGATATGCGTGAGAATAATATCATCCGAGACAGACACCAAATATTGAACTTCAGTCTAATACTAGCAAAAAACATAATAAGAGCAAATAGAATTCAGCATTGCACCTGGAATGAACGTATCAAACAATGCCATATCCTATGAGAGTTATATTCTCGATACTGGCGGTCACCAACAAGCATGAAAGGAGGTTTACAAGCATGCAGGGCAATCTCTACAGAAAGTCTCATTACAGTCCCAAACACATTGCTGGGAAGATATTGAACATCGACTACGGATGTATATATAGACCAGAGCCCCCTCTCTGTCCTGGTAGGGTTTACCTGAGCTCATATTTCTTTGTTTTACCTACAGGTCCCTGCGCATACCAATTCAGAAACTCGGCGATATGATATATTGGGTTTGTGAATCAATCCATCTTATACACTTTCTATTGTGGGGTTACTTCAAATGTAAGTATAGATAGTACTAGATGCTGTGGACTAGTCATATATGGCGAGCATGTCCTAACCCAAGACAGCCTGGAGAGGCTTCTATGCTAGCTTAGTCCACTTTAGCTTTAGAATTACATTTATATAATTTGTGAAACTCGTAACCGATAAGAAAGCCGCTTGATACTATTAGCGTCGCCACCTGTACACGCTCTAGACTTGTAATCGAAGGATCGAACTCATCTCTTCGTTGTGAGTGTCTAGGGACCGAGATCAATGTACATGATGTAGTTTCTATGCGTTGATCCAGCAAGTTCATACATATTGCAGCATGCTATGTTGAAGTTATAGACATTGACTAGAATGTCATACTTCGTAGTAGCTGCCTAAATAGATAAGTACTGTCTCCGGAGTATATTGGATCTTCTTATATAGCAGCGCTGGTAGTTGGATGATGCTGTAAAACAAGAACCTGATAGATGATGATACTCGATTAAGCTTTAGATATATTGGAAGATTAGCTTTAGACCTACTTATAGTGACATGCCATCAAGAGAGATAGTCAGCAAAGGCCGCCGCAAGCAGAACTGTATTCCTGGTGGGTCGTACATACCTGGGGAGAGAAAGCTGATTTCGATTCCTGATGGTCAAGGTGACTAACTCCTTAGTATTTGTTCTTTCATCATGCTATTCTATAGTACTGCAGCGCGCGCGTTGCTTCATGCTCTCGGAAGGTTAAGAAATTCGACAGTATCCAAAACCATATAATGCTTCAGAATCTGAATAATCGCATAGCTAGCATCTCATATGACATTCTTGATTAGGTCAAAGGTTTTTATGAACCTCAGTTCTCGTTCTCCTTCTGTAAGAAAAATATTATTCCTGAGAGTTGGAGAAAGACTATTCATCTCGAATCGAGCAACTTTAGTTTCACTACGGTACAAAGTCTGAAGGTCAAGTTCAGCTATCCCATGTAGAGCATACTTCTTGCTCAGTATTATGCCAGCTGCCAGCCCACTCGCAGGATCAAGAATTCTTTTATTCCTGTTGAGGCAATATAAATACACTGGTCTGAGCTATAGATGGAAGACTAAATGCTCTATCAGTTCATGCAAGTGCCTTCACAGAAATTTTTATGTTGACCAAACCTACCTCGTTATTGTTTCTAAGGCGTAAAAGTTCCTGGTGAAAGAGTTTAGAACAAACCTTTCAGATAGTCGTATCTTAACGGCCTGCTTTTCTGTGGGCATGATGAGCATGGCTACTTCTTAACATTTTATAACAGTAAAAAATTCGAGTATAGTACTTATCCATATACCTTAGTAGTTAAGTTATTCCTAATTAACACCGCCCTTTGGCTTAACAGACCGCTTATATTTGACTCCATGCAACATGCTTCACCAAGCTGCAGCGGATCAGTTCTTCCAGCCTGCAATCCACCCTTGCCGCTACGGTTCCACCTGAAACCGATGTGCTTCCCAAGATGCAGATAGACATCTGATTCTCAACCGTAGGAATGTATAATTGAGACTCAAGGGCTCTTTAAGGCTGATGGCTATCCTCTCTAGAACGGCGCGGTTCCATTCCCAGTGTAGACCTTTCGAGCGACCCGAAGAAAGATGATTCGTCCTATAAACAAACCAGTGCGTTCAATATCATACTGACGTATCAGACGGAGGGATACATACGAGCAGCAGTTATAGAAGGCAGCGTATGCGGGGCAGTGACACAGCTATAAGATTTACAGGTCGCTTTACTAAACACCTTTCATATCACTGACCTGAAGATGTGGGATATGCTATCCATGGCTTCTGTGGACAGCACTGTTGCCACTGTTTGATTTGATCATGATCAAAAATGTGGTTAAAATCCTCGTTGACTCAGGCTCCCAAAAGCTTTGCTCGAAAAGTGAAAGAAACTACCCATGATGGCTTGTCATAATGCCAGAATGAGAGCAAGAGCACCGTTCATCAAGAACTGTGGTATATGTTATTACAAGATAACGTTGCTGCTCAGTTGTTCAAGAAGCTATCAACACTAGTCTGACGGCGAGTTAGAGCTTCAGGCTTTATGCTATTCCACCAAAGGACTGTTTATAGATACCAGAGGATGGAAGAGTGCAGAGAGCATAGATGAATTTCCAGCCCGAGCATAGACCATGGATTCAAGTCTATAGTTTGCCAGGACTAAGGTCATCTTGCTTTTGAGTAAGATGGCCTTATTATCCACAGAGCTCATATATGTCACACGGCAGAGTTTCACGCTCTGAATGCTACAGAACATGTCGATGATACAGGAAGGGGAAAGTATCAGGAAAAATTTAGTAATCTTTCCAACGTAGTTTGGCTGGCATAGGGACCCGGTCGAGCTCTCAAAAGAATTAGTGAGCACAATGTTAGAACAAGGAAACATGGCACAGGTTACATACTATCATAGCAGATGCAGCGAGTTGATGATAAGACTGGAGGCACAAAGAGAACAGACTGATTAGGACTCGCCCGGGAGCAGCACAGGGAGGATTTAAAGACAATGTAGGAGCTGAAAATGGGGCGCGAGGTACATCCAGGAGAATAAAGGCCTGAAGATTGATCTGGGAAGTAATCAACACAGAAGAAGGGAATTAAAAAGGATGAAGTTGAGCACTATCTGGTTAGAGAGCCGGATTAGTGCGGTGTTAAGAATGGTAATCTCTCTCCCCCCGCTGTGCTCTCTGATGCAGGCCTGGCTACCATTATTCACGGTAGTGCAGAAAGAGAAACTCCATTTTTGGATTGATTTCTTTGTTTTTCCATTGGACCTAGCTGAAAGATAACATGCTGCAGGAAAGAAAGGCGTGGTTTATTAAAGAAAACAGCCCCCCTCAGCCTCGGTCAGCAAACATGGAGCCACAGCCGTCATTGTGTGATAGTGAGCCGGGGTTCCTGTGACCAAGAGCTTTTACCAATGCTCCGTCTGCATAGTATGTCCCACCCTTCTTTTATCATGCCGATAAAGCCAGGAAGTCGTATCTTCCTTTTTTGACTTGTTGATGAGCGGCGGAGGTGATATCCCTGCATCGGGTAACGAGCTGTAGGGTACTAGCTCTCATGCTATCGCAACACTACAAATAGTAAGCCATCAGGAACGAGTCTAGGGGCGTGAAGTTGCCAGTTACTCCGGCAAAAGCAATGGTAGTCATAGTTATAAGTCGAAGGTGACCAGATATGCAGCAATGGGGCCTACTATATATGGCCTTTAGGCCAACTCTCTTCACCGGGACACTAGGCCACCCCTTTAATGCCAGTGAAATCTACATACTCGTGACAAATTCTGAAAGGCCGATCGGTAAGATGAAATGCCAGCAATATCACCTGCATGGACCCAAGCAGATCGGAAGTACTCAAGATGACTTGCTGCGATCGCAAATGTCATCGCGCACATGGGCTGGATCTATGGAAATCTCACCAGCGAGGCAATTCTCCGCTTGTTCTGCTAGTCACTTTTCAGGCCGGTAGTCCGCTGTAGGCATTGAACCAAGGAAGACATCCATACAAGCCGAGCATACATTGCTTTGTCGACTTGAAAAGTAAGGAGAACAACCGGAGCATAGTTACTCCTTCGAGAGAAGGCCTCCTTTCGATATTGAACTGTACTGAATGTCATCTGGCAAGTCGTACGGTCGGTTCGGAATGATGAATCCTCGATGGCTACACGACAGCTTGCTATTCGCAGTAGTGCGGATTAGCCAAAGGAATCAAAAGCAAACAAAGCCAGGGGAATTTCATGTTGGCAGCTTGTGCGATGCAGGAACAGCCACCTCGCATGGGACAAATCTACGGCACGGCAAAGAAGATATGTGAGTCTGCGACAATTCCTCTGAGTGCCATCAATCCCCAGTGGGACTCGTCACCATGAAAATTCCCGCAATCCTCCTAAAAGTCTATCATCCCTTGCTTCTAGACGACACAGTGGCTGCATAGTGGCTGGATCGGTTCCCGCGACCGCAGCGAGTGCGTATCATAAATGCCAGAGACTACGTACCAAGCTTCTCCCTGATCGCTGACGCACGTTAGTAGTACCCAAAAGCAACAACACCCGACCATTGACTCGCTAACGGCGTGAAACAAGCAAAACAAGCAAGAAAACAGGCGACTCCGAAATACTTTGATCGCCGGCGGAGAATCACATCACTGCAGAGGGAGCCCCTTAAGGGGATAGTGCTGACCCAGGGATGGTCGATCTCAACCAGGAGCCCTCGCGCCCCCAGTGTATCGATCTTCCGCGGCCCGGGGGAGCTGGTGTTTCATAGAAGATACTTCTTAACACCCTCAGCAGAGCCCCGGCATGCCGGTCATTGCTGCCTAAGCTGACATGCCGACGTTGGCTGGTACCTGCCCATGGAAAACCCAGCTCAAAGAACAGCAAACGAATGGCAAGCTCAGGAGCTCCCACTCCATGTGCATGACCCGGATGATCGACAAGTATGAGATGCGCAGCCGGGCAATCATCCGACGCAATCCCAAACCATCCTGTCCCCAGCCTCGAATAGTTCCGCCGATCCGACCGATCAGTTTGCGACACGATGATGCGGCCCTGTCGATCATCGAACCTGGGGAGGAAATGCTGAAAGCCAGACGCAAAAGGTGTGCGATGCAACATGCCAGCCAGAATCCCATTGAACGTGGTCAGTGCGTCTACAGTTGGCACAGCAGTCTACCGCGCACTTATCGTGAGTCACGGATATGGCGACATCGCTGCGGCTTCATCGCACACCGCAAAACGCCATCTTGTCGAGTTGGGCATTTAGGTGGCGACAGAGCGACTGACAGCAGCAGCACGCGATAAACCAGCAGCTTTCTGGAATTTGAAATCCGATAAAAACTGGGCCAGATCAGCCGTGAATCAACCATGGATGCTTGGGATCCACACGGATGAGCGACGCGCAAACCACCGCAAGGGATTCCAGCCCACCATTGCTGTTAGCGGTGCAAAATCTTATCGCTAGCGTCACTGTGTGGCCACGGCCCGGTTTATCAAACGGCCTGGGACTGGCTGGAGGCCGAGTTCACAACAATGGATGACGGCTCATTGCTGCCCATTATTTCAGCGCCTTATAAACCTCCAGAGCCAAAAAGCAAAAGAATCGCCCTGATACTCCGCTGGCCCGGTCCACTTTGCCTCAGCGGTGACGGAGACCTTATCCCGAAATCCCTTAAAAACAATCATCAGACCGCAGGCGGATCAGGACCCTGAAGTGCAGTAGTCCTTGTGCCGAATCGTTCATTTTTTACCCCGGTGGTTGTGTCTCTACAGAGGATGCCGTCCGACCAGCCCTACCCGACCCGGGATGATGCCTCCCGATCCCCGAGTCCGAACAACGACAAGAACAAAACCACTGTTGAAGTGACGCAGAACAGCCTGGACTCGGCTCCATTGTCTCGGCGATCCTCGCTCTCACTGACCGACCAGGCTAGCAGTAGTAAATTCGCCTCCACCCCCGCGACCGGAGCTCAAACCCCGGATCCTTTGTTCGCCCACCTCGCCGGCCACCACGACACGCTCAAGAAATTCCCCCAGGTTATTGCACACGCGCGAGATGACAGTGAAGACGAATCTTATGAGTTGCCCGTGGCACGACACAGTCGCGGCGATGCAGATCCTATCGATGGCCAGCACCTCAGCTACCGCCGGCCTTCTATGGTCGCAGCTCAGGGCAGGGACTTCCCCGACGAGGCCGGCTCCCCACCCCCTAAGCCCACCCAGGGTCGTCCGCCAGAAATCAGCAGTTTAGGTGCCGAGATCGTGTTGATCGCGGTCTGCTCCGCAGGTCTGATGTTGTTTTCTTTCCTCCTCGGAGATGTGCTCGCTCCGCAGCTCCAGTTCCGGCAAGCCCTCGGCATCACCAACACCGAGCTACCCTGGCTTGTCGGCTCCTTCAACGTTGCCAATGGCTTGTCCGTCGTGGTGTCCGGCTCGTTGACTGACCTGACGCCCCCCAAAGCCCTTATGGTCGGGGCATTCCTCTGGCTCAGCGTCTGGAACATCATTGGCGCCTTCTCCATCCACCCCTCCCGTTATGTGCTCTTCTTCGTGGTGCGCGCCATGCAGGGCCTGGCCATCGGCGTCTTGGTCTCCGGTAGCATGAGCATTCTCGGCCGCGTCTACAAGCCAGGCATTCGCAAGAACCGCGTCTTCTCCGCCATGGCCGCCTGCGCCCCGTTTGGCTTCTCCCTGGGCGCCATCGAAGGCGGTCTCCTCTATCAAAACCTTCCATGGATCTTCGGCTGCAACGCCATCATCACCGCCATCTGTGCTGTCGGAGCTTACTTCTCCATCCCCCCGCTGCGCCCTATGGCAGACTCCGCCGGAGGCGAGGTGCCCTCGCTGCGCCAGTTCGACTACCTTGGCGCCGCCTTCGCCGTCGGCGGCTGTGTCTGCTTACTCTTTGGACTGACCCAGGGTGGCGTCACCGACTGGTCCGTATACACCTGCGTGCTCACCGCAGTAGGCATCGTTCTACTCATTGGCCTCTTTATCGTGGAGCGCTACGTACCACGCCCTCTGATCCCCAACCGCCTCTGGAATACCAAGGGCTTCACCCCGCTCATGATCGCCTACTTCCTGGGCTTCGGGTCCTACTTCGGCGCCTGGCAATTCTACGCCATCCAGTTCTGGCTGCGCATCCAGCACGCCAGCCCCATCGACGTGGCGCTATACCACCTTCCGAACGCCATCTTTGGCGTCATCGCGACCTGGGTGGTCAGCCGCACCTTGCATCTCGTCCCGGGCCACTACATCTACACCATCTCCATGTTCGCCTTTACGCTCGGACCGGCCTTCTTCCTTCCCCAGAGCCCTACCACTACGTACTGGAAACTGTCTCTGCCTGGTGTGGCGCTTGTTACCTTTGGCCCTGATCTGGCCTTCGCGGCTGCTTCCATCTTCATCACTAGTAACGTGGCGCGCTCGTACCAGGGCAGTGCGGGGAGTCTGCTGGTTACGAACCAGAACTTGTCGTCGGCGATTATCACCAGTGTAGCAGATGCGATTGGCACACGCGTCGATAAGCAGGCTGATGGGAGTGTTGGGCTTACTGGACTGCGTGCTATTTGGTGGTTCGCACTGGCGTGTCAGTTGCTGGCGGCGCTGGTTACGGTTACGTCGGTGAGGATACCCAAGGAGGAGGAGAAGGAGCATGTTACTTGATGCCCTGATGGTAATATGTGTGTTTCATTCTCGGTTTCGTTTCTCGGGTTGTTACGGTGCATTATAAAGTAGATAGATGGTTGGGAACTCCATTCTATACATAGATTTCGGCTTTAATGGATTCAAAATGCATCCATAATCATATCTTCAATACTAATATACGAACTACTATACTCTTCCCCCCTCATGATCCACCACTGGTAAAGGCAACTCCCTATGCAACCTCACCCGAATTCTCTCATCCTCATCATTACCATCTAACAACCCCCTCCTCAACAAGAAATCCACCACCACCACCGCACTATTCGGCTTAAACCTCCCCTCCCCTAGCGCCTTCTTCACCTCCTTTACCCCGCACAGCCTAAAATCCTCCACTTCACTATCTGCCGGACTTGGAACCACCTCCTTCCCCAACCTCAACTCATACAAATATTCCACCTCGGGCTGCAACAGCTCCACCATCCCTATCCCCCCAACACTCTCCTTCTTAACATGGAAATACGAAATCCGATCCACAAACCTCATACCCTTCCGCATCAACTCTTCCTGGATCTCCGCCTCCTCGCTCGCTTCCCGCATGATGGCCTCCCTCGGTGGTAACCCTGTACTTAGTCCCCCCGCGGCAGTGGTGTCTAACATGCCGGGGTAGGTCGGTTTAAGGGAGGAGCGTTTGGCGATCCAGAGATGCGGTGTGTTGGAGACTTTGTCATCGGTGTAGCAGAGCATTTGCACGCCGTAGGTTACTATGCCGAAGAGGGCGCTTGCGGCGCGTTCTATTTCCAGGATGATGGTCCCGTCTGGACCATAGAGGGGGAAGGTCTCGTTGCGCCAGCCGCGAAGGATGCCGTGAGAGGCGAGTTGCTGGAGAGTGGGGAGGAGGATGGCGGTGCGGGTGGAGGCGGTTGCGGTGGGAGATGTGAGGAGGGTGATTGTTTTGTTGGTGGGAGTGGTATTGATGGCCCAGGTGTCTGCTGGCCAGGGGAAGGTGGTTATTAGCTCGTTGGGGATGTAGCCTAGGGTTTGGGGGATGCCCGTGATCCGGAAGGCGTGGTAGTTTTGCAGGATGGGGTTGTCGTCATCGTTGGCGGTAGGGTAGGGGAAGCTGTTAGGGAGGTTAGATGTGATTGAATTGAATTGGATTGGATTGGATGGGTGGATGGACTTGCTTGTCGAGGTCTGCTACGACCTGGTACAATGATGACGATGTTGTTGTTGTTGTTGACATACTGTATGTTGTAGTCAATTGTAGTAGTGGGTGTTTAGTTGTCCAGAATACAGGGAGATGTCAGGGTCTAGTTTATCTAGGTGGACATGGTAATGCTATTTAGAGTAGAAGGCTAGCTAGCTGCTAGTTTCCTCACTAAACACTCTGTACTGTTAGCTGTTAGAGATCGGGCCGAGCTCAGACTGGCCGCATTGTCCCTCTGCAGAGATCATCACATTCGGAAGTTTTAGCTAGCTGTGACCTGCAGATGCTAAAGTATTTGGGGCTGGCAGAAACACCCCAATGAAACAGAGGAGATATTACAAATTGGGCAGCTTCTAAAGTGTGAATGCTACTTTTCGCTAGTGTTGGGAGGGTTTTATGGCATACCTATAATAGTAATAACATGTCTTAGGTATAGCTGCACCCGATCACGTGCACTAGCCTTGCCAGGAGTGGAGGATTCCAACGAAATGAAGTCATTCAGGAACAGCCCACAACGCCTCACTTTCTCCCCCTCCCATCGTCCATTCTCTCTTTCACTCACGTACCACCATCATCTTCCATATATCTCCCTGAACATACTCAATTACCGTGGCGCCTCAACAACTCCCTCACTTTCGCTGGCGCCCCCCCGGGCCCCCCTCAGGCCACCCCTACCTCCTCCGCCCCTCCGCTTCCCTGCAGCTCGCCATTCGCGAACAGGCAAATTATTTCGCCATTTCCTTCGCTTCCTGTTCGGTCCGCACGCCCCTACCCGTGCACAATCTCGTCTCTGGAGTCTGCGTCACGAAACACTCCCCGCTCTCCGACATCGAGCACAGGCGGGGCTATACCGGGCCTTGGTGAAGCGGCAGGCGAGACTCGCACGCAATCGGGAATCTGGTCGGAAGGGTATCCTTGGTTACCTGAACAAAAAGGGGAACCGCTTGGCTGGTCGGATAGCTCCTGCGACGGGTGGTATTGTACATAGAAGGCTGGCGCAAAGCACCGGGGCTTTGCGAGCGGGAAGAACCAAGAGCTCAGGCCTCACGCCAATGTCACAGTACGAGCCTTCATCCTCGTCAGCATGGGGCTCTAGTACTGGGCGGGAGAGGGGATCGCGCCGCAAGAAGGTCTTTGACTACTTGAAGGCTGCCAATGAGCTGCGCCAAACCTATGCTGCGCAATGGTCGGCGCAGATCGGTGGCCAGAGCAACTATGACGACTATCGTGATACCCCGGGCGCATTCCCGGACGTTGAGATTGCGCGATCTGAATTTGAAGAGATGGTGATATTCCCGAGCTATGCGAGGCGATTGGTGAAACATGAGCATATGGATTCATACTATAGCCGCCGTCGAGGATCAAATGCCACCATTGAGGAGTATCGGGGCGAGTCCGATGGCTTTGGCACAGGCATGCCGATATGGGATGAGCTGGAAGATCAGAATGCGATCGTCGCAGTCGATGTGCGTGGCTGGGTATACGCACCTCATCGCGGGCCGATGACTCGAAAACATCGTCTGATGGTCGCTCTCGCTAGAAAGCTCAGCGGAGTACCAGCTCCTATGAACAGCACGAATGATGGTGATGAACATAATGCAAATGACTCTAGGACTGAGAAGGGGGACGAAGAGCTGGTCAATACGCAGGCACAATCGATCATTAAGCAGGCTGAAAAGGAGGCTGATCCCGTATGGAAAGACAGCGCAGAAGATCGTGATGTCCAAAATACTCCCGGACGACCTCTCCAGAGGGCAGCAACGGCACCGCTGAGCAAGGATGAACTCTCCGTCGCCAATGCGCACCTTCTGGAGCGATTACGCCCTTTCTTGACGAACCCGGTAACAGGAATTCCCGTCACTGTCTTCTTCTTCAACAACGACAAAAGCCAGTCGAGGAGCGTGATGACCGATGAGTCCGGTCACTTTCGCCTACGAGCGTCACTACCTTTTATCCCGACTCACGCCCGTGTGCTAGCCTCCGAGGATCTCTCGGCTGTGAAGGAAGTCAAGGTCATCGAGCCCACGGGCGTTAGCTTGATCAGCGATATCGACGACACGGTAAAACATTCTGCTATTGCTAGCGGGGCCAAAGAGATGTTTCGCAACACCTTCGTCCGTGAACTGAACGAGTTGACGGTCGACGGTGTTACTGACTGGTATGGCAAGCTGGCGAAAATGGGAGTCGACCTGCACTATGTCTCTAATGCCCCCTGGCAACTGTATCCTCTTCTGGAACGCTACTTCAAGCTCGCCGGCCTGCCCCCGGGTTCTTTCCACTTGAAACAATACAGTGGTATGCTTCAGGGGATATTCGAGCCTACGGCGGAAAGGAAGAGGGGCTCTTTAGAGCAGATTTTGAGAGACTTTCCTACCCGCAAGTTCATTCTCGTTGGAGACAGCGGTGAAGCGGATTTGGAGGTATATACCGACATCGTTCTAGCAAACCCGGGACGGATTCTTGGAATCTTCATTCGCGACGTTACCACCACCGATCGACAGAAATTCTTCGAGAAATCAGTGGACCACTTAGAACATGATTTGAACCGGAGCCGCAGCAGTCCGCAACTTGTGGAAACTTCTGATGCCGTGTCTAAACGTCCGGCATTACCACCTCGGCGGCCCGTGGAAACGGCCGATTCGTCCGCGGATGCCGTGAGCCTAGACAACGCCGACTTGATTGATCTTAGCGACGAGGTGGAACAGAAGATGTCTTTGGCTGATGTGAAGAAGCCCTCCACCGGGCGCGGACCACCCGCGAAACCTTCCAAGCCCTCCGCGTTGCGCTCAGTTTCGACTAATCCAGACATGAGCAAAGACGATCAGCCTTCACTTCAACTAACAGCCAAACGAAAACCTGTGCCACCACTACCCCCACGCCGCTCTTCCACTAAGCCCGATATTTCAACCGACAACATACTTGATACCGAAAACCATACGCCTGTGAATAATGTAGCGAGACCAATGCCCATACGTCCTAAGCCTAGCTTACAAGATATCCCCAACGACAACGGGATCGGCACAGGGCCGACACGCTCAAAGCAAGCACCGCCACCTCCTCCACCACGCAGAACCAACACAGGAACTTCAACCCCGGGTTCTATCTCATCACAGCAAACTACAAACCGCCCAACACCCCCACCCCTTCCCCCGAAACAATCATACCCTGCATCTGCAGCCACAGCAGCCACAGCAGCGCTACAATACGCCTCCGACCGTTTGAACTGGTCTCCAACCCCATCGAACATTCTCCGACCGGCCCAGCCAAACTCCTCAGCAAGCAGGTCCAGCACCAGCGTCGACAGTAACACTCCGAACTCAACGGCGGTCCCAGCAGCTCCTTTGCCCAACAAACGAGAGGAAATATGGCGACGTCGCTGGGAACGCGCCCAAGAACTTCTGGAAAAGAAAGGCGTGGTGCTGGGCAGTTGGCGCGTAGGCCAGGATGCGCAGGACGTGAGTTGCTGGTTGGTAGAGGAGGCGCTGAAGGATATGAAACGGGGGTGAGGAGTCACCTAGCCTGGAGGGTGGCAGAGCCAAGGCCCTGGTTGGTCATTTTGCATATACACATACGTATATATAACCTCTCAGCGTCTTCTGAGAGGTCGTATAGCCTCAATAAATTTGAAAAAGTAATAGATACCATTAGTGTGGGCAGCTTACTAGTTAGCATATACATTTCCTCTGCATCTTTTCTAGTAAGTATCTTACTGCGACAGTGAAGCTGATGCCAGGGCTTGTGATTACTGCGTCCTCGTGGCGACTCCTTAGGATTTAGATGCTTAAAACCATGCGTCCATACTGTAAGGTAGCTAGCGCTTTCGCTTACATCTCATCTCGGTCGCAAGTTTCAGGCCCAACTATTCCAACCTCAACCATTACAAACCATCAGTACCGTCGATTGATGATAATCTCGATTTTCGCATGTCAAATCACTGCCTCAAAAAGTTACATGACGCTGAGTCCCGAAGATCCACACATCAAGCATTCCTGGGGATGAAGAGGTGAAGAATCTCTAGCAGCAGTATTTCCCCATCTCACTCAAGCGTATACAACAGCGTCCCCCATCCCAACTGATCATACCCACCACTCGTAGTTCCATAATCGCCACCACCGCCCTCTGCTCCATCGCCATCCTCAACGACCAAATCGCGATATTCCTTCGTGTAAGTAACATTCAGTCCCTTGAGTACACCATAATGGTTATACAGCAGCTCCCAGATGGGTCTGATATCTCCGCGACTGGAATTACTAATGACCGTCTGGTTTACGTCGTCGCTGTTGTTGTATGTCGTGTAGGGAACCTCGTTGCCAAGGTTGTATTTGGCGACGTATTCCGCACTAAAGTCATCTTTTTGTAAGCATGGTGGTGTATTCCATACTGAGAGGAAGGATAGGGGAAGGAGAAGATAAACCAAGTATAGGGGAGAGAGATAGAGGGGGGCGCGGAGGGGTAAACTCACCCAGCCAGAATGCGATTATCCAAATACTCAAACAGGTCAGTCCCCTGATTATACGCTGTCAGGGCAATAGGTCCCAGGAGAGCAAAATCCAACATCGAATGGCCCTGATCACGCCCTGCCTCTTGACCCTGACCCAGGGATTCCCCATCCACCTCATACAGCTTCCAGATGGCATTTTCAATCTGGCCATTTCCCTCGCCAGACTTGAAATAAGTCAATCCCTCATCGAACATAGTCTGATTATCAGTCAACACGCCAATAGACAAGATGGAGGCAATATTGCACAAATCCCAATTTGCCCAGTAATGATCAACAGCGGCGCCATGGTGATTCTGCAGGAAATCTTGATTAAGGGGATAGAAAACGTCGACCATCATGTTCGCAAAGCGGGTCAAATTAGCACTCGGCCATGCGGAATACGTGCGCATGATCTCGGCGACGTTAGCGAATTCGTAGCCGTATATGCCCGCGGCGAGGTACATGTCGGTTGTGCCATAGATCTCGGTCAGGGTGGAGCTCCATTCGTCGAGGATGTTCACAACAACGTCCGCGTAGCTCGTGTTGCCGGTTACTTTCCAGTATATGGCCATTGCGTAGGCGGCTGCTATGTCTCTGTACAGAGAGGGATAGTTCTCGGTGTGGGTGCCATCTGCGCCGCGATAGACGATTGTCTTCGGGGAGGGCGTGTAGTCTAGGTTGATGTTGGAGCTGTTGGTCAGTTTGTACCAGCCTGTTATCCAGGGTTCGGTGTTGCTGGATACTTTGGAGGTGATGCGTGAGAAATCAGAGGCTGTTTGGAGGAGGCCTGGATGGATAAATGAGGATGTGTCACGGTGGGAGACCTGAGATGGTCCATGACTGGGAACATCGAATGCTGCCGCCAGCGAGCAGAAGGCCACCGGTAGTGTCAATTTCATCCTTGGAATCTCGGTTGAGACGCAATGCTTCCCCCTGCTTCTGTGACATTTTCCTGTAGGGGTCCCTGGTCGGGGATTGCCTCTAAATATACTAACTATTCATGCTCGGTCCATCTGGCCGGTCGATTAGCCGACCTTTCTCATTGTTCGTTGAGTTGGGGAAATTGGGATCGTCCCTGCGGGTATGCCGTTTGTTAGGTAAAATAGACCGGTAGATTGACCGGCACGAAGTGCATACCAAGGCGGTACTACCAAATAGGAGGTTCAGGGTCCATTCATCATCTAGGTGTGACAGACACTGTGGGGAACAGGACGTAAGCCAGCGGAGGAAGGATTTGAACCACCAACGCGGAGTAGGGTGTAGGGTCCGTTACTTGGCCCGGCCCGTTGGCCGACCATTCCTCCGATCTACTATCCTCAGTGGACTAAAGTCCACTGTCAGGAAGATGTTATATTTAGTGTATAGTATACTCAAGGACATTCTGCTCATCTAATCTGATCTGCTATCAATAAGATCAATGAACTCCCGTTTCCTTCACCTCCAAATCAACCACCCCCTTCTCATCCACAACTGGGCGTTGATCCACCTCCAACTCCCTTTCGCCTATGGATGCCATGTCATGTTTCTTCACAACAATCCATGTCGGAATAACACACAACCCTAGAAAAGCCAGTCAGTATTCAGCCTCTTCTTCAGACATCAATCCAACTTACCCAGCAAAATAGTATTCACAGCCATCGGCACCCGTCCACCATACCAATCCCTCGTATTTAATCCATAAGAAATCGCCTCACCAAAACTCTCCTGACCGCGCAACACACCCGTCAACCTGGTCAACTCGGCGATATTATCCGTCATGCTTCCCACCAAATAATACAACCAATTCTGGCCCGTCTGCTGCGCAAACGTCCACATGAAGAGGACAAACGCGCCCTTAGTGAACCCCGGACTAGTGTAATCCATCGTCCCCAAATCAGGGTTCTTTTTATGGGCTGATGTATATTGCTCCTGCACAACCCAGCCAAGAATCCACGCCGTCACATGCACAATGATGACCCAATACCAGCCGTACGTGAGACGTTTCTTAGCGTCGACACGCTTCCAATCGAGCCAGTGAGAAATGATCTGCGAAGCAAGGATGGTGACCCAGTCGGAGAGGAAAGCGATGAGCGCACGAGCCCGGACCCCAAAATAGTACGTTTCGAAGTTACTCGAGTACTCATTGAAGTAGACGGCCCAGAAGACAGGGAGAAGAAGGATGACGGTGCGGTTTTTGCATGTTTTCCAGAGGGCTTGGAATTCCGCTTTCCAAGAGTCCTCGACCCGAAGGATGACCGGGGAGCCATCGGCACGTTGGACTTTGTTGGGCGGGGTGAGGAGCAAAGCGACGGGGATGGCGAGACATTGTAGGACGATGAAGACAATGTACGTGGAGTATCCCACGCTTCCTTTGTCTTTGTTCTTAATGTTGAGGGCCAGGACAATCGAATTCCCGATGATGGGTCCGAGGGTGCGCCACCAGACCCAGATGTTGAGGTATCGGGCTCGTTTCGATGGCTCAGGGTATCCGATTGCGATGGCGCCTTCACTAGCCCAGAAGAGACCGGCCGAAATGCCGCATGCAACAGCGCCGACCAGAACTAGCCAGACGTTGCCGAACCGGTTGTTCGTGTAGAGACCGGCTGCGTAGACGGGGTAGCCGGCGGCGCCGAGGAGAAGGGCCCATTTCAGTCCGATCCGGTTGGCGATAGGCGCGCCGAATATGCAGAAAATGCCCATGAGCCCGAAAACCAGTGCGTTGGCGGCATTCACCAGAAAAGGTTTCTCTTCGCCTCCGGCTCCCAGGGAGTTCATGGCGTTCCATAGCCCGGGGGCGAGAAAGCCAACAGCACCAATCACGCAGGCATTGAAAAGGGAGGTGCGGTACCACACTCGTTTGAGTGGCACTTTGCCGCCACTCCCATTCTCAGCGTCCGCCATAGTGAACTGAGATCAAGACTGGAATTATTCGTGGGATTGTTCGGAAAAAAAAAAAAACACAACTTCAGGGCGAGAGTAGAAGAAAGGGGCGGCAGCTCGCCGAGGTTATGTATGATCCGCAAGAACACGCCATTTTGTTGTGCCAGGATTTTTCGCAGGCGAAACGATGATAGTCTGCACTATGTTGCGCTATATTAGGTCATGGAAATGTCGTGATGCATGAGTATGTTCGAAAAGAAGGAATAACAGGGCGGCCAGGGCCGCTGAAGACGGCTGTCGCAAGCGGCACAGGCGATGGCGAGATCGGAGCTTAGTCTCCTTCGCCAATGAGAGAAGCCCTAGTAATGTAGCATGACGAGTTAGTCATTTTGTCGTCAATGACTTTGCATATTAGCATGATTGTAGGATCGATATTGGACAGCAAAACTTCGAAATTGAATGTCACTCACTGCCCACGGTTGGCGCTGAAATTTACTTTCGGCCAGGTCCGATGCGGGGGAAAACCCGAATCTCGGATTGCTGTCAGGACAAGTTTAAAGTTATCAGATAATAATGGAAAGATGTATCTAATCTTTCATCTTGAAACAAAACCCTATTTTCTACATCATTATCGAAGAGCTGGAAAACGGAAGATCATTTCAAATAGTAGTATAGCATAAAATGACTGTTAGATCTAACGCTAATATTCTAATCATATATTACAACCCGAGTGTCAAAGGGTCACCAGGAAGATTGGTAAATGCCTGAAGCAAAGGAAATAAGTTATGAGGCGCAAATATTGACAACAAAGTACATGAGAGGACACTCACCCAGGAGTCTAGCTCCGTCCACCACACTGATCCTTCCAAATTTTCAATGAAGCCAACATCACTATCAGGTCCGAATGGTTGTGCGGCCAAATCTGCCGCCGGTTGTAAACTACTGGAATACGCCATCGAGTTGTCCAGTGAAATAGGGGAGTAGAGGTCGTTGAGGCCAATCTGCTGCGCTTCTATTGGCAGTTCATCCCGACGCATGGTGGTTTTAGGCCGTTGTTGCTCAGATAAATCGCCCAAGCAGTCGGCGTCCGGCCCAATCTGTTGGTGAACCTCCTTTCGTAGCTCTTCTAGGATAATGCTGTAGCGACGACTGGGACAGTTCTTACGTGTAGCCTCTGCCAAGTGTTGTTGGCAGGTCTCGGCTAATCTGAAGAGAGAGCTCAGAGAGACGTCTCCGGTGCCCGGGGATAAGGTTTTTGGGTATGTGTCGCGGTGTTGCTGGATAATATAGATATACACCACTGTGATCGCGCAGAAGCATACGTAGTGTGTGAACCAGAACGAATGGGTCAGAATGTTCTGCTTGGCCAGGCCTTCTACCAGTTCCATGACCTCCTGAGCGGCTTCCACACATTTGCGTACTAGGTTGGACGCTACGGGGTGAGGAGCTGGTGGCTTACGTCTCAGATCCGAAATGTCGTTGAGCAGGAACGATCTGGTCGCATGGATGACCGCATGCGAGTACGCCAGTTGTAATACCTGGCTTTGCCTACAAAGAGGAGGAATGAGGCTGGTTGCGCGCACTCCGTTGAAGATCGGCGGGGCTGTCGCTTTCCATTCCTCCAATCTAGACGTGAGCCGGGCAGCCATCTCGAGTGGAGGGCTACGAGACGATGGATTCACTGTGTAGAGCTGACGAGAGATGTCGCCCAGGATGCGACCAAGCCTGTGTTGTCAGTATCGGCATGTACCCATGTATATAGAGAGGTGGGGGGGGGGGGGGGGGGGGGGGTGAGACGAACTTGAAATGTAGGATGGATGCGATCATCATGCAATCGGCGGACCCTGTGCGTCTTTCCGGGTCCTCCTGGAGCATGTCTTCGTCATTGATCTCATCCGGAAGGTCTTGGTCGATGTCTTCATCGTGTAATAACCGTGGTCTACCAAACATCACGCTGAGATATCTGTCCAACATATATGCGCTCCAGAGGATGCGCTTGCGGAGCTCTCGCTCCATGTAGGTGTTCCCGCCCTTAGGTAGCCTGTCTGGGAATTTTCGATGCAGGCCCAGCGCCGTTACGAGCTGGAGGGCAGTACCGAATGAATACCAGCACTCATTCGCTCTAGAGGTAGACAACAAGTAAAGGCACTGACCTAGCCTAGCCTGAACGGTCTCTAGTCGAGGGGGCCCCGACTCCAGGGAGCTCATGTATTTAGACGCTGCATACCACTGCTCGCTGAGATGACTCAGTACAATAGACCCGAAAGGAACACAGCTGACTAGCTTACCTTCCGCACCACTCATCAACCGGACTTTCCGGTTTCTGCTCCTCATAGAGCGTGCCAACAGCAAATATCACAAGAATGATGGCTGTCCGCACTACCATGGGACCCGTGGGAGGGTTTGCAGAGGAAACATTGTTCAGGTACACCTGGCAGAGCCATTCCTCTACGATTCCCCGATGAAGAAATCGATATGTCACCATCGAAAAGTCGAAGTAGATGTTAACCAGCTCTCGTGCTTTATCAAACGGGGGAAGTGAAAAAGTCACCTGGCGGTAGTCGGAGTATGGCTTATCACCAAACATGAACACCGAGGTGTTCCTCGGAGAGGACTCGTTCTCTAGGCTGTCTGGGATTGCATGCCTTTCATCCTGATGTAGGCGACACCAAACTCGATTGAGAAAGGAGACTCCCGAGGCAGGCCCTAGATAATTGCCTTCGAAGTCGGTCACCGCTGGATCAGGGGAGTTGCGCTGAGAGACCTCGTTTCGACATAGAGGCTGTTGAGGCGAACCGGCAGGTACACTAGGAGACTGTTGCGCAGATGACGGGCGTCGACGTCCCAGAGCCCCGTCTGTTTGGGGCCTTCTCTTGGCACCGGGACTATATGTGTGACCGTCCGTCATTGACGGCGGGGCGGGGAGGGGGTCTGGAGGCAAACCCCGGGAGTAAGCGGCATTGTACTGGCAGGACAAATCCAGTCTCATGCACCTGACACATGGAAGTGTTCCCGTACAGCGCGTCTTCTTCTCTTTGCAGTGATCACAGGCGCGCGTGATCTTCTGACGCGGTCCATTGGAGGCCTTGACTGGGGAGTCCGACGTCCTTCTTGGGCGTTTTGCGGGTATCGAATCCTCGGTATCAGAGAGGCGACGCCCAGAATTTATCAGGGCATCTGGGGACAGTGCACTGTCCCCTCTTGCTGCCAGGCCTGTGGCCATGGATCCAATGACACGGGTTTTTCTGGTGAACTCTGCTGTTGAGACATGAACGGTAGATGAGGCTGGATCTTTTTCCGCGGGAGGAGGAATGGGGAAACGGAGGGACTGGGCGAGACAAGCCGACCCCAGATTTCAAGGGTGGAGAGACGTGCAGCAAGCATCCGCGGGGGAGAAGTTTCCGGGGGAAGTGAGAAATCAAAAGAGACAGGAATGAAACAGAACTGGAAACCGAAAGTGAGAATGAGGGGAGGGGGATGCGGGGGTCCGAGCCGAACCATCGGAGTTCCCCCGGACTCCTCTCCGAAGCTCACTTTTTTGCCGTAAGATCATATAGTTAGTAGCTGATGTCGGCCACAATGTAGATATTAGTGATGGATAGGAGATCTGAGTACTAGTCTCAGGAGTATCATGATATCATCTCTCTAAGTACCAGAACAGAAGTGACCTTGCAACCAGAGACAAGATGGTTTAATGCACTGTACCTTCTCGTCGCTATATATTGTATGATCACGTGATCTGACGCCAACCCCCCATTCAGCATCCGGTCGCAGCAACATTGCGAAATACCGAAAGCCTTCATTGAAGCATCCGATAGAACTCATTTCCATATCCCCTCGTAAGGCTTTACCAGTGTCCCCACTGTTACAAAGTATGCAAGGGAGAAAGAGAATAGGAAAGGAAAAGCCAGCCACCACAACGCGGGCGGGGAAATTTCCCCTTTGGCACCACCGCCCCAAAACAGTAACACTCGGACTCTATTTCAACCTCACCTCTTGGGACAAATTCTGCAGCAATGCCATTAGCTGGCCATAAATCCACTCAATTTTTCAAAATGAAGCAACAAGATGAGCGATCATCTAATGGGGAAAGCGGAAAGGCCCCAGAAACCAAGCTATTCCAACATTCGTGGCCTGAGGTGGGTGAACCATTCCCGTGCACGGCGTACCTACTATAGACATTCTGCATGTATCATGAGCTCACCATCTGCCTTGTCCTGAACGGCGATGTTATGCTTCCTATATACATGAACACTGTAGATGGCTTACACTGTCTATCATTACTATCAGATTTCTAAACAACATGATATTATGCTGTCGTCGCATCTAGAGATGTTGCACCAGTTGAAGAGTCAAGTCCACTCCCACGGAGAGGAATTCCAACTGGTATCCAACATGGTTGATAAAACTAAGAGACTAATTGCTCAGTTTGAGATACTTAAGAAACGTGTGGTAGGTCGTAGCTACTTCCTTTCTGCCTACTTCTGTCCGTGCTGTGGTTAACCAATCTGGCAGGTGCCAAGTGAGTTTTTCTAAGCTTACCCGCTTCCTCTGACGGGTATAATACAATACCACAGCCTAGTACAGAGAAAAGTAACCATCCTTATAGAGCTCAACACAGCAAAACCGGAATCGGACACTCATTCGTCAGAATCCATGTCGACGTCAAGCAGTCGAAAGGAGCTAAAAAAAGAGCAACTCAAACGTCATGCCGACCACATGTATGACCCGGAAGAAGACGGAGGGGCAGCAGCAGCGGAAAACCAAGACCCCCTGACTGCAAGGTCTCTAGCTGTCCACTCTAGCAAACGAAAACGTATCGACGAAATTATTCCTGGAGCCGATGAAGACCTAAGGCGTTTCTCACCTGTATCAGTGGAGACCGAGGATATCTCAGAGGAGGTACAGCGAAGACTAAAGATCAAGGAGGAACAACGCAGAAGACGGGAGACCTCGAAAGTGGACAAACGCAAGAGGGACAGTTTGACATCTAACGGAAGCACATCTTCGGCCAGAACCGGGACGAAACACACTAGGAAGAAGGCTAGAACTGGGACGAAGTGGAATCGTTAGCCGTTGATAAGTCCGGATGTGTAACCCCAGATTACCCCGGACTTACTCCAGACTTACCCCTACACTTTCTCACCACTATTCTTAGACAAGGGCCAGACAGACTGAGTTCGGCAAGCAGGGGCCTAGCCATTGGGTCATACTATTGGCTAGCCCTATGTACTATATCCAGAAACCTTATTGTTAGCGGAAGAGATATTAATAGCCCGTTCCTGGAGGCCAGCCCTATCGGACCCATGGTCCACTACCTAGATGTTTTCTACAATAGTCTTTATACTTCGCTCCGTTGTAATGCTGAACTCAGGTATACAAAGTTCACAAGAGTCTCTGGGGGTATAAGGAGGCCCCCCGAATTCCCAGGGCCATTCTGAAATCTTTCCTCTCTTCAACGTCCCCAAAAAACCGGACCGTTCAAACCAAATCTGCTTTTAACTGTTCAATCTGCTTTAACTGTTCTGCGTTGCTTTTAACAAATCCCTAATACTACAAACTCCGAAATCACCCCCCATTCTCTAGAGATACGAAAAACATCTCTACAAATCTGCTTTTATTGTTCTCCTATACTCAAACAACCGAAACCCACCTCCTACTTCTCGGGAGATCCGTACAAGTCTCTCCTATAACCTATACTTCTTACATCATCCATCCACCTCATACTCCTCGAGAGATCCGAAAACGTCTCTCCATATATCTCTACCCACCTCTACTATCTCTACTATTCCTCATCACCTATCTCCCTCTATTCTCCTCCTTGAACCAGTCAATATGGCTGCTCCTCCCGCCTCAAATTTCTTCTACCACACCCGCCCCGGCAAACAAAACAGCCGATCTCCTCCTCGTCGATTCAGACCTAATGGACCAAAACAATCTCCTCCATCCATCCGTACCACCAACATCCCCTCCAACGCTCCTCAACACCAGAGGCAGCCGAACCCTCACTACAAGTCAAACTCTGGCATCTCCAAGCCAGCACCTCGAAAGCCTCATCGCGACGTCGATGGAGACATCTCCATGACCAACGTCTTCGTCAAGCCTCAACCTCAAAAGAGGCAGCCTCCTCCAACCAAGACCCAACCAAACACTGGCCGTAAAGCCAACTACATCAACAACATCAACTACCGCAAATCAACCGACGGGGATACCATCATGCTCGACGCATGCCCCATGTCTCAGAATCTCAAGAGACAACTCAACAACACCAACAACACCAACACACCTCCCCAATACCGACGCGGCACACCCATTAAGACCGCCCCTAAGAGACCATTCTCTACGGACTTCGATGGGGACACACCCATGTTCGACATCCTCGACATGGCCCCCACCCCAGTCAATCTACCCGTCCTCCAACCGATACAGCTACCATGCTACCCAATCACAAACCTTCCCGTCGACTTCGACGGCGACTCCATGATGCTCGAAGCCTTCTAAGGCAGTAAGTACCCACCTCAATCTTCATCAACGTGCATACACACATACTAATATATCCTAGGCATCCCAACACACCAACCAAGTCTAAAGGACACCCAGCGGAGGAATTCAGGAAAATTTGGGAACTTCATGTATAACATGAATTTGTTTTGATTATAATATCTGTGGGGATGTACAAGTACCAGCATGTCACAAAGAAGGGGGCGAACTCAAGGCCCAAGCGGAGGAACATTCATGAAACTTTGGGGATCAATCTTCTTCCTGTATTTTCCTTTTTACTTCTTTAATCTTATTTTTGTGGGGACGATTCAGCGAAGCATGTTCTCATTTCCTTATTGTGTCTGTTGTCATGTATGGCGTCGTGCACCCCGGTCCAGGTTTTCATCCTATATCACTGAAGACTAAAGACGGTGGTAGGTGTTTTCCCTGGATTCCGCCTATCAGGTTTGCCCGAATGGGGGGGTTGCTTTAGCCTTTAGTTCTACTCTTGAGTTAAGAGATAATCGAAAAGAATCTCACTCACAGTTTGGTTTCTTGTATGTAGTTGTAGAATGTAGATTATAGGTTGTAGGCTGTTGGTATGTGTAGGGTTGAGGTACTTCTGGTTTGATATAGTACTATAGAAAGGGCTGTGTAGTGTCAGGTAAGTTTTCTGCTTACGAGATACTACAGCTTAAGAAGTAGCAGGTCATTTATTGCCTCCGTAGGGGTGTGAGTGCGTGGACTAATGATAGTTCGTTGTATGATATCTGGATGACTACAGTAGAGTAGCTCATTTGTTCGGTCGATTCAGCCACGGTTATTACTTAAATACTGCTATGTACCTATGAACAGCACAACACCGCCAAATCCCATCAATTCGCTCGCTTTAATACAAACAAAATTCGAATGCAAAACGGTATAGAAAACGTGCAACCCCTTGCTTATCCCGACATTAAGTCCCTACGCTTCGACCGCGCCGGGGGAGATGGCAAGGATCACAACAAAAGCGGTAATAATCAGAGCAGCAGCTACAAAGGCTGTCAATGCAACACTGCCACGGCTGGCCGGGAATTTGCCCCTAATAATCCAATACTGGCTTTCGAAATAACGGTGGAATCCAACCAGTAGAATCAAAATTGCAACTCCAATGAAAGTAGTCCCTAACGGCTTACCGATGCTCCGAAGGCGTGCAGAGGCAGTTGTCACCCCTAATGGCGTGGAATCATAAGCGGCAGATGGCAAAAGATAATTTTGAGCGGAAAGATTGGCATTTGCGTTCGTCCCGGCACTATTGAGACGGAATAACTGGGTTACTGCGATGCCAATCGATGCAAAGGCTAACGATGTCCGCAGCCATGCCAGAAAGGTTCGTTCTAAGGGAAAGAAAGAGAATCCGGTTAACAGGGTCGTACACGGACGGGGTAGGAAGAAGAAAAAGAAAGAAAAGAAAAGAAAAGCAACAACGGACTAAAGCATACCCAAAGCGAGATGATCTCGGGCCACACTGCCTTTATTTTCTAACTCCAAGCTTCCATATCTATCTGCCAGCCGGCTATACCACGAGCCGTGCGGTTCTTCCGAGTTACACTGAGAATTCTGCTGACCGGGATCCCGTGAGACCGTGTTATTGCTTGTTGATCCCGAGTCCCTGTTCCGTAGACCGTCGGTAGAATGATAGTTGCGCCGAGATGTGTCAGAGTTGCTCACGATCGGAGTGACCTCGTTGACAGGTTGCGATTGGCCCTGGTCAGGCACGGTGACCGATTCGAAGGCAGCCATGCGGTGTGGCTCACGATGAGACGAATGGGATGAAGATCGTTGCGTGGGAGATAAGGCGTTGGCCTGCCTGGCGTAAGGCGCGGTCAAATCAGAGGATTCCATGATTGCGTGCTCGCGGGATCGCAGGGTTTATTAGACTAGATTTGATGCTAGGGCGGAAGTCTGGATCTTTTCCTCAAACGGATCAGGTGGATAGATAACTAGCGCATGTCCCCAGCTTCTGAGCGGTGGAGTTACGCTGATCGGATCCGTTGTACGAGCTTGATAGATGGGTAGGGGACATCCACACTGTGATAACGAAGGAAGAAGTAGAGATTCAGAAGAAACTGTCCTCAGCTCGTCCCCTCCTCCTTAGTGTGTGCGTGTGTGTGTGTGTGTGTGGCATGGAGCAGCCTGATGGAAAAGAAAGAAAAAGTTAAAATGAATTTGTTCGCTCTTTTCCTCGAACAGGCCATCACGCGCTCCAAGCCAGAAGGAGTATAGCCAGTGGTGTCGGACATGCAGCTAGTCTCGCCGGTGATCACATGGAGCGATTGCACTACGCCCTGCTGGGCCATGGCGTCATAACCCGCGTTCAACTTTGCTTTGTTGCTTCCGCGGGTAAGCGGTCAGTCATCAGTCGGTCAGTCGGTCTTATTTGGGGCCTCAGGCCAACTGAACACATACCTGTACTCGGTACTAGTAGTAGAAGATTGCAACCAAGAACGGAAAATTAATTAGATCAAATCATGCCTCTAGGCATCAACATCCAGTACTCTCCCCTCTTCCCTTCTCCCCAGCCACTGTGGCTCATTGCGAGCTGGCTGCAACGCCAACCCATCCTCCATTCCCACATATTTATTGCACCATCCAATCACATTCTGATACCAGACCAAACTGTTCTCCCTCCCCAGGACAAAATGGTTCTCATCCGGAAAATTTAAATACCGTGTATCTATCCCTTTCATTCGACAAACGGTATAAGCGGCCGATGCAGCCGTAATAGGGCACCGGAAATCTCGATCCGAATGGATCAGAAGCAATGGTGTTGACCAATTACTGAGATACTCGGCTGGGTTATACCGCCGCCAGATCTCCTTTACGCTGGGTTCGTCACGGCCAGCATTCGGGGCATTGGAGAAGTATGGCGAACCGAAGGAGCGCGTCAGCTCTTGCACCTGACCCAGATCATCACTCAGAAGCTCGGAAACAACGTCGAAGATTCCGTCGTGGCTAACCAGAGCTTTGAGTCGCTTGGCGAGAGGCTGTCCGGCCAAGAATAGTGCCAAATATCCCCCATAGCTTCCGCCCGCGGCTACGGCTCTTTCAACATCGCACTTGGTCGACAGGTTTTGTTCGACCCAGTTGAAACAGCGCTCGACATCGTGGTAAGGGTGCCCTCCCCACTGCAGTGCGACTGCTCGTGCAAATCTGCCCCCGAACGAGTCGGATCCAGTGAAGTTGGGGATCGCAACGATGTACCCTTGTTCCGCTAGGAGGACTGCATTCCAGCGCCAGGTCCAGGCGTCCTTGTTAGCGGAATGGGGCCCGCCGTGCATAAAGATGAATAAAGGATGCTTTTCAACCGACGTGGCGTCGTACCAAGATGGCTTTACGATCCAGCACTGCACTGGAGTCTTGCCATCCGGGCCGCCAGGAAATGTTATCGATTCAACTTGTTTGTCCGAAATTCCGAAATAGGCTCCGTGAGAGGAGGACGAGTGGATGACTCGACTGCTCTGAGATACAGGATCATTGTCTACAGGAGGAGTGACAATTGCGAACAATCCCTGGTCTATGAATGATGAAGAGGTGGCCATTAACCGGTTCTCCGAGGAACTTCGACCCAGCTGATACAGTGATGAGACGGAGCCAGGGATCTGTAAAGCAACTGGTTCCACAATCTGAGTTCTGTCTTGAACAGTAGTGGTCGGGAGAATCACTTGGAACACACGAGCTTTTGCTTGATGGTTCGCAGTCAGATACAAAGATGCGCCGTCATTTGCCCACAGAATGTCATCTGGGAAGACATCCCAGTTCTGACTCTGATCGACTGAACTTACCGTCCGAAGGATTGATACTATACTCAACGTCTCTGTGTTTAGCAAGACAATGCTCTTTTGCGACCACTCCTCGCTATCCTGGTCAACTAGAAAAGCGATCACTGGGTTCCGAGGCGCAAACCTCGGGGTTGCTACGATATCTGCATGATCGGGAACCCTTATTTTCTTCAGCGCAGGTAATTCGGTCTCCTCAAATGTTGACAATGGAAGAAAATATAAGGAGCTCTGCGATCGTTTCCATTCTGTATCCACTGGATCTGCTGTTGCAAAGACAATCCCATAAGATGAGATGTCGAGATCCGGGGAGCTTTGTGAGTTGGAGTAAAGGGGTACCACTAGGCCTGTTCCTCGTAGAGCATTGACGGGGCCTTTAGTAGAAAGCTGCCACTGTTTGGAATCCAAGTCAAGCTTCAGGACTGTATACCAAATAACCGATCTATATTGGTCAACATATGAGTCCCATCTTTTGGGACGACTATGAGTCCATTCCCGGGCGGTCGTATGAGACTTGTCTGCTTTGAGGATGTTGTACAGATTCTGTTCGGCATCTGCAGGTGCTGTGAAGACCAGTGCTATGTCACCGTTGTCCAATGATTTGGACTGCAAGTTCCCTGGTTTAGCGTCAATAGTACCAGCCAAATATGGTCTGAGAGACGTTGTCAGAAGTATCAATTCGTCATGGAGAAGACAGTCTTACCGGGTGTTGTGGTAGGCATCGCCAATCCATAATTCGGTGTTGTTCTTGCCTTCTCTTTGCCAAAGAAGTGACGAACCGGACAGCCAGCGAAACGAAGACTCCTTGGGATCATTGGTGTACCGAGTGGACTCGCCGGTTTCTAAGTTGAGCAGCTTGACCTCAGAGAAATCTGCGTGGGTGTCAAGATCGTATGTTGAGACAGTATAGATCGCCACTTTCCCCTCATCGTTCGGTACTGCTGATGATGGCCTTGGGGCGGTGATCAATAATCTAGCGAGCCAGTGGTTAGACCTTGGTACTTCCAAGCTTTGTTTAGACTAACAGCTGGGGATGCGTACTCAGGAGTGAACTTTGAAGGCTTTGAATGTTTCGACATTGTGAAAGGCGATGATAGTAGAGTGATAGTGCTGATGAACAAAGCCAGGCCGCACGAGATGGACAAGAGTGAATGGTGACAACTGCAATAAGCAATTGAGGGAGGAACCCCTCTTTCACGAGTACTACTTTGATAACAACCGGAGCTCCGATGGTGATTGACTCAAAAGCACGGAGAGGCTAAACCCACCCGAGTTAGCAAACTATCCCTAAAGGATGCAAAGGATTGAGGAAGTAAGCCTTATTAACAATCAACCTGTCGTACGGCCACATACAATATTTTGATCTGACGATGCACCGATCACCTGAATATTTGCCCTTCCTCGCCTTCTGGTGGGAACTTGGGCCTAGTACCTTCTTAGTTAAAATCCATCTAATTGAGATACAACCCTTTGTTTCATTGGCATCATCATATCTCTCAAGGCACACTAGTACCTAGAGCATGCTTGAACCCTTAAGTGAAGTTTCGCTTGATTGCCTCGTCATTCTTAGTGACACTGTCGCCTTCCCAATGGCGTGCTCTGTTATCGAAATCACAACAAATACACCTTTTTGAATCCTTGAGTCTGATGTCTTCCGATATACTGACATCTCTGTACTTTATGGTTTTGATATAGCTTGGTGAACTTCAGAGGTAAATATAGACGCCGGTATGCTTCTATAGCACGCAAGTCTCCGTAGATGGTTTAGTGATGGATTAGAAAAGAAAAAGAAATCTGCTATTACAGTTTCACGGATTTCCGTAAGCTAGCATATAGTAACTCTCGCTCTACCCTTATTCATTGGCCTGAGATACTCGGCAATGGCTATTCTTACGATGAACAAGAAAGCAACATATAAAATACAGAAGACTGTAGAACCATGATGATGATGATGATGATGATGATGATGATGATGAGGATGATCTAGTACTACATGCATAAGAACATGACGTGCTATTTACTAGTCATACAAATCGCGTTGTCGTAGCGGCTATGTTTAACCCACAAAGCCTAGCTATGATACAGTTAATCGGACATCAACCACTCCGGGATGGCGTCATGGTCTTCGGGGTCTTGTGATAGTAAAGAGGTCTCTTCGTCGCTGTGCGTTTCTTGGCTGGTGATGCTAGGGGTCGGAGAGCGGGAATCATCTGCTTGTACAGCGATCTGAGGATGTGTGGTGCCCGAAATTGCTGGAGTGGATCTGATGATGGCGGCCTCGGAGTTCTGATGAGCAATCTGCGGTGTGATATGCCCCAAGTCCTCTTTCGTCCTGTCAGACAACAGTCCCGATTCCTTACTCAAGAAGTCTTGGATCGGGGCTGTCTGGCCTGCAGATTCAAGCTTTGGAGTGACAATCAGGTCATATTGAGGGAATACCGAGCGATTCCTTTGCAATTCTGTGACGTTACTATTTGGCTGAGGTGAAGACACTTGGTCCACGCTTGCTTCAGGAATGAAGCCTCCACCAAGCATATCCGTCTCTGTAGCCGAAAGAGACATGTCTCTGCCTGTAGTGCCTGTAGGTCCTGATGTTTCATCTCGAGAGGGGCCAATCCAGTCCATTACGGAAGCTGGACTGTTCATCTCTTGCTCCGACTCCGGAATGAAGCCGCCGCCTGACTCTTCCGGGTCCTCGGATTCCTTCACGTTTCCGATCCTTCCCGGCTCATCTGCCTCGCGTTCACCTTCTACTGCATAGCCTTTGACTCTCTCTGCAATGCGCAATTTCAGCAGCAGATGCTTCCAAGCCTGCAGTGTTTCAGCAGACTTCCTATCTAATTCAGCCTGCAACTTTTCTCCCTCCAGACAGTTTAGCACTTCTTCAAGTGCTTCTCGATACTCAGTGGCAACGACAATCCCCTGCATGATCGCGGTCCCATGGCGCCCCTTGAAGCTGAAACCGGTGACAGCATCTGCATAGTCAATTGCAAGGATCTTAGCAGCTTGACGGGCATCGGGATGAGCGATATGCACACCGCCTGGAGGCACCATGCTGGGTACATAGACATCCAGGTTCCCATAGATATTTTTGGGTATTCTCCCTCCAACTACTGGCGGGGGCTGATACACTTGTGTCTGATGATAAGCGTACAGAGGTGTGTCGGAGACAGAGTTATCCTCCTCGTTACTGAGCCTCCCCATCTGTGGCTTCCTTGAGGTGACGCGCTTCAACGGTTGCTCGCCTGTCTTAATGTCGCGTCCCAGGCGATACCAGCGATCTGCACTACGTAGAGCATGTACATCGGATCGGCGATATACGGGCTCCAAAGCCTGAGTCTTCGACGCTGATTTACCCAGGCTAACCTGCCCGATGATCCGTTTAGGAAAGACAACCTCATGTCGCCGAAGGTGCCTTTCAAGAGCATAGACCGGGTGGTCCTTGAAGTCTTGGATATTCCGGGGCATTGGTTCGGCCGCTGTCTTGGAAGTAAGCTCGCTAATTTCCAGTTGGTCCCGGTCTTCCAAAAATGGCTTTTCATAGAACCGCAACACTCGGTTCCACCAGTTAACATGGTTCCCCACGGATTCAACTCGAAGTTTGTGAGTTTTGGCGTTAAAGGCCTTCGCATAGCGCCTGGTGACATCTCTAACAGAGGCATCATCCTCAAATGCTACCACATAGCTCAGAAGATTGTACGAATCGTTTGCTGGAGGCTCGAATTTAGAAGGCTTTGCCATAGTCTTGGTAACCAGGGCATCGACAGGTATCCATTTATTTACTGCTTCGTTAAACGCTTCAATCCAGAATACGGGGTGTGATGATTCACGGATGGGCCGGGGGGAACCTTTGGTATGCTCAACTTCATGCTAGCTTGGACGATAGATGCCGAACTTACTTTGAGTAGGAGTCCCAGGGCGTCTGGCTGGTGTGAAGCGTGGCCGGGCTAATCTTCTCACAGTGGACCGTTGTGACGTTTGCGATTCCTCAGCAGTTGGTTGGGTGAAGCTTTCTGAAGATTCAGACACCGGAGCAGATGGTGCCGCGTCCTTGGTTTTATCCCGAAATGGTAATGGCTGCAATGAGCAGACGAGTCTTGCTTCGACGCCCACGGACCGTAACAAAGCACAGAATAACTGGGCGCCAAAATCACGAGAACCTTGCATTGTTCGTGCTTGTTTCACAAAATCCTTCCTCGAGAGGAAGACCTCGGCATCACTTATTATGGATTCCTAACGAGAGGTCAGACACCATTTGTGACATATACAACACCGAAGTCAGTTACAATACCACTCGTTGTTTGATACCATTAAGATCATCTATCCACGAAGGTCGTCTCAGTCCTGGTTTGGTTACCTTAAACCTTCTATTGAATATATCACTAGCATGGTTCAACCCATCAACGAAAGTTGTTGACCTGATTTGTTGTGGCCTGTTCTCGGAGGGATGCAATAGTGAGATGATATTTTTCGGCAATGTCCGTTTGAGGAAGCCCTATATAACGGAAACAACGTCAGGTAAAGATTAGTTCCCTATCTATCATTTCCATTCGGTCTCCTTGCCCTTGGCCGCTTTCCCACGTGTTCTTTTTTAAGACTCAAGCATGTATGCCTACAGGTGGCTGAATCGGAATCGGACGTACCTGTAATTCCTCATCGTTGCACCAGAGATTGCGTATCTGCACATGGCGTAGAAGGCAAAGTAGATGAACTTTATGGATGCTTAATCGCAACTGCTTTTCGGCAGCGGTAATCCCCCTTCGCTTGTTAACTACCTTGCGCTTCTGATCCTCGGGCAGACCCAGGGTGACCTGAATCGAGGTATCGTCCGCGTGAACTGTATGTGGAGCTTGCTGAATATCAACTTCTTCCCATTCCATACCTGATTCTTCGGATGATGATGGCGAATCATACACCGTTTGGACAGGTTGTTCTGTAGAATAGCTGGCTTCTGGAGTACTAGCACCATCTTGATGTAAAGGCCAGGGTCCGGATACGGGATCGGGGCGGGTAAGCCTTCTTCTTTTGGGTAGTCGGGTATCATCTGGTCTGGAGGACCCTCTAGCTTCAGCCTCCGCCAACATCTCCTGGTAGATCTCTGGAATCTCATGATCTTGGTCTTCTCGCTGCCGCCGAGAATGATTCGAAGCAGCTCCGGCTCTTCTGGAGCGAGTAGTGGGCCCACGACTCGCCATCATAGAGGGCCAGATGCAAGGTAACAAGACTCAATATCAGCATATGCCTCAAGCATTCTACTGTACTGGCTTTAAATTGTTCTTACTCGGCAGGTGCACTGATGACGCTTATCCAGGCACGTGACATCATGGTTCACCCTGTTTGCCAGTCATCCGGGCCGTGCATTGTTCCGCGCCCTGCGGCTGAAAGCGGGGAGGAGGCTCTGTTTGTTCCTGTTTGTTTATCTTGCTTGTTTCGTTGACTTGCCGCGACCGCATTAACAGCTACTATGATCAGATCCTCCGTCTATACCACATTGCTAGTCCAGCCTCCACCCCCTCATTATCTCTCCTGGCTGGATCATCGCCATGGAGCTTATCAATAATGGGACAGACTATACCATAGAAGATGTGTGGACATTACCCCTATCCTACAATGCCTAATGCAACTGTGTGAGCTAACACGCGCAGTGCCAAATGGCTCTCAAAACAGCGTTCTTTGAGCGCGAATATGACAGAACACTCGGAAAAACAGCACAATTCCTAGATGAGGAAAGGCGCCGCATCCTTCACGTCGACCAGCTTCTTCTGCGATTTGATAACGAAAACCTCCAACTGCAACTGAATCAATTCAAACAAGATCTATCACGAGCTAGGAATGCCGAGTCGGATATTCGTACTTGGCTGCAGGATACCATCCGGGAACGCGATCAGTTGCAGAGCTCAGCTCACACTGCAACTCACGAAATTGAGGGTCTTCGAGTATGACAGCACCCTCCGTCCTTGGAAATAGCTTTATTGACCAGGGGTTTCACAGCGCGAATTGGCATCGATGAACAGCACAACCGCCGAATCTAGAAACCTTGTTACCGAAAAGCTGCGCCTGACCAAGGAGCTGGCTAACATGCAGTCAGAGGTCCACAGACTACAGCTGCAGGAAAATTCCTTCCAAGCACTGGTTACTGAGAAACAAGAGCTTACCCGTCATTTGAATACACTTAAGGTGGAATTTGAGAATGAAAAGCGCGCACACAGATCCACTATGGCGCAGGGAGCACAGCAAGCGGATGAAATATCTGTCTTGACTGCAAAGCTTGAGGAGCAACGCAAGCAAAATGCAGCAGAGGCTCGGAAAGTGCCTGCTACTCAGCAACCGAATAACATGTGGCAGTCGGAGAAAGCTGCCCTGGAAGACAAAGTCGAATCACTGAACAGAAAAATACGGACCCTAAAGGATGAGCTGCGTCAAGCTCAAACCAGCAACCAAACCAGCCGATTTGAGACCAGTAACAGCAATGGTCCGTTAGAGCAAACGAGAAAAGTCCCCCTTAAAGACTTCTCATCCAGATTTGACCCTGGGTTGGATATCGCGACGCCGGGAGCAGTCCGTGTCAAGGAAGGGAAACGGCAACCTACTGCAGTTCCTGGCCAGAAATCTGCCTTCTCTATCACGCCATTTCTCAATCGCACCAATGGAAACCAGGAAACCTCTGGCGATACTCCAGACAATAGAGCGGGTGCTGATCGTCTCGGCAGCGATGATGAATCTGCGCTGGAGACTTCATACCTCGAGGACAAATTACATGTCAAGGAATCTGAAGCCGAGCCACGAGAACGCCGCCCTATACAGGCCAAACAGCGCTTGGATAAATCTAAGCCGGCAATGAATTCTAAAAAAGGAAACGGTTTGAGGCTAGATGACATTGATGATGACAGTGATATCGGATCCATTAGCGCTCTTGTCGCGGGTCAGCCGCAGGTCCGGACGAAACGCCGCAAGTTAGGGGCGCAGAGTAAGACTATAATGGATGAGGAAGAAGAGCTAGAGCCTGAGAATATTCGCAAACCGGGAAGGAAAATTGGTCTGAGTACAGGTCACACCAGCAGCTTACAGACTGCCCAAAGTGGCCCGCCTCGTGGCTTTGGTGGCTTCGGCGGATTCTCTCCCCTAAAAAAAGAGAGAAAACGACCGTAAGAGTCAGAATCAAGCGTCTCCCCGAACTCGTCATTCAAACTCCTTGATACTAGTCTTCCGCGTCTTTTCTTGCGCAAGTTGCACCATAGGAATCTAATTCTGTAATACTTTGTGTCAATTTACATTGGATTTTGACAAGGAAGTCAGACAAAGTCCTGGAACAGTTTTCATGATGTCCTCTTTACCTTGAGGTGTGCTGTCACGTAGTAGTACTACTAGTTACTACTTAGTAGGCATGAGTAATTCTAGACTGGGATAACTAGACTGTATTACTAATAAGCCACTGGGCAAAATCAACCAATCAGAGGCTATGAAGATGACGCCATGGGAGCTGCTGGACTCTGTGCCTCAGGCTGCCACGTGCGCCGCCTCCGCAATAATGCCGAAGATAAATTATTAACCAAAGTACTGCCTCTACTGACATTATCTGTGTCATCTCTTCTCTGTCGGTCATAGAGTTGCTGTTGGCTTATGATGAATCCAATGGCTGCAGGCCGCACACTTCCGAGAGCTCTAAGAGCTTCTCGGCTTCTCAATCAGCATACGAGCTTGTCTACAATTACCGGAAGTCAGCGAACCCAAGTCTCTTTATCGACATCATGTCCGGCAACATACAGGGCCCTGCATACTACCCGATCGCAAAAGTCGACCAATGCTGCTGCGAGGGACTCGTCCAATCCCGCCATGTCTTTTCCGTGTCTCGATGCGCAGGATGCAAAGTCTGCCCAGCTCTCCGCACGATCCCTCCAGTCCGGCCCCGAACCTTCATATACCACTGGCCATCACCGAAAGTTTCACTGCGAACAACCCTTACTACTTGATTGGGGGGGTATACTTCCAGAGTTTGACATCGCCTACGAAACATGGGGCCACTTGAATTCTGACAAGTCGAATGCTATCTTACTGCACACCGGTCTGTCCGCGTCCAGTCACGCCCATAGCACGGAGGCCAACCCCAAGCCCGGCTGGTGGGAGAGATTTATCGGGCCTGGCAAACCTTTGGACACGAATAAGTACTTTGTCATCTGCACCAACGTCGTTGGAGGATGCTATGGTAGCACAGGGCCTTCGTCAGTGGACCCCTCTGACGGAAAGCGATACGCTACTCGGTTCCCTATCCTCACGATTGACGACATGGTTCGGGCACAGTTTCGTCTCCTGGACTCACTTGGCATTAACAAACTCTACGCCTCTGTCGGATCCAGCATGGGCGGTATGCAAAGTCTTGCTGCCGGTGTTCTTTTCCCTGAAAGGATTGGCAAGATTATCAGTATCAGTGGTTGTGCGCGAAGCCACCCCTACAGCATTGCCATGCGACACACCCAGCGACAAGTACTAATGATGGACCCGAAATGGGCCCGTGGTTTCTACTATGACTCGATTCCTCCGCACTCTGGAATGAAGCTGGCGAGAGAGATCGCAACCGTGACATACAGAAGCGGTCCGGAGTGGGAGAAGCGGTTCGGGCGCAAACGCGCAGACCCTAACAAGCAACCTGCTCTGTGCCCGGATTTCCTGATTGAGACATACCTGGATCACGCAGGAGAGAAGTTCTGCCTGGAATACGATCCTAACAGTCTGCTATACATCTCCAAGGCCATGGATCTGTTTGATCTCGGCCATGCTCACCAGACCGAGACCAGAGCTCGAAGAGCCGAGTTTGAGGCTGAAATTGCCGACGGCGGAAAGGCCCTGCACGAAAGCAATATCTCATGTAGTCTGACTCTCCCAGAGAAACCTTACGAGGAGCAACCCTCTGTAAACGCCTCCGCTCCTGCTATGGACCAGGCTGTGGGTGGTGGTGATATTGGAGCAGATGCTCCCCCGCAGGATCTTGTCGCCGGCCTTGCGCCGCTCAAGAACCACCCGGTTTTGGTCATGGGCGTCGCCAGTGATATACTCTTTCCGGCTTGGCAACAGCGAGAAATCGCCCAGACCCTTCGGGCTACCGGAAACAAGAACGTCGAGCACATTGAACTTGGAGAGGACGTTTCGCTCTTTGGGCATGACACGTTCCTTCTGGATTTGAAGAACATCGGCGGTGCGGTAGCCAAGTTCCTGTAACCAACGCAATCCGGAGCAACTGTTTGATTATTTTTTCCCCCCATGTGGTAATGAAGAAAGCGGGCGATGATTTGTGTTTAGCGCGATGTTATTGTCTCATTTCATTCCATGACTAGCTGTATATAGTACATATTACCTCATTCCCTGCAATGCCCTGTATCTAGATACATTTCACACATCACGACGGAATACGATCATCCCCTAATCCTCGTGGAAATCATTTCCAACTCCCTAGTTATTATTAGTTAACTCTGCTAGCTACTAGTTTAGTCTCCTGTGGATTTACCTAATAGCATGGCTGTCCCGAAGCGGTAAGGTCCCACTGCCTCAGGGTTCAAAATGTTCCGAGCCGCTTCGGCCAATGACGATGTCCGAATTCCTGGGTTGGGATGCCGAAAACGCCGACTCCCTCTGAGCGGAGCGCATCTTCCGGCGCGGTGCCAGGAGACCTACGGCTTCCACTTCCCCAAGTCTTCCTCTCACCCCTCTTTGGTGCTTTCGTCGTGGCTGTCCTTGGATGGCCTATCTCTTATCTTGGAATTGATGCTTCCCCACGTCTAATGGAGCTGTTACTGTAACTATGTCTGTGCTCTGTTGAATACAGTTCCCGGACAACCCGCACGACAGCTCCACGGTGGGCGGAAAAGAAAAATTCAGGAAAAAGGAAAAGATACGATCCAGGCTCGCCTCCTTTTCAATTCAATGAGCTCGCCTTCAGGCCGCTGAATCCTCAACCGTTCGATCCTCACATCGTCTATCTTCTCCTTGAAACACCAGCTCGACAGCTAGAGCGGCCGAAGCCCTGCCCAATTGCAGTGAGAGACCTGGCACTTGCGCTCTGCGAAATACCTCCCTCTTAGCTTGTCTTCGACCAGCTACGATTTATTATATCCAATTGCAACACCCTTCTCATGGTATCCGTCACTAGTGGGGGCCCAGGGCTTGAAAGCCCGACCCTGTCCGACTCGCGAAACGCCGGTCCGGCCTTGTCGTTACAATCTCCGGAACGCAATGAACAACGGAAACCTCAGGTACCAAAGGCATTGGCTGGGGGCAGTGCGCAAGACAAATATATACAAGGCTTGGAAACTGAATTCAAACTAAAGCATCTAGGTGTGCTTTGTGTGCTAGGGTGGATATTGTATGCTTTTGTCTCTGCGTCCAAGCCGCTTCTTCTTTGGGGACCCGAGTTTTCTAACCTATCTGTGATTCCCTAGGTTTTTGCATGTTGTCGGGATATTCTTCTTTACTAAAGGATTCCTGCTAACTCGCATGGTGTTGGAGAACAAGTCATCCTGCGACGTACTCCCCTTCGACGAGGCAGCGACTGTAAGCAAGAAAGTCGATGGGTGTTGGCACCAGAAGTCGTTCGAGAAAGCCGTTGTGATCATCATCGATGCCCTACGCTACGACTTTACGGTACCCTTTGCTCCGAGCGCAGAGGCTGAATCGGCACAACTGTTCCATGACCACCTTCCCGTCTTATATGAGACAGCTGTCAATACCCCCGAAAATGCCTTCCTGCTTCCTTTTATCGCCGATCCGCCCACGACGACGCTGCAGAGATTGAAGGGACTTACAACTGGAACACTTCCCACGTTCATTGACGCTGGTTCTAACTTTGCCGGTACGGCAATTGATGAAGACAATCTGGTTGCTCAATTGCGCGCGGCAGGCAAGAACTTGGTTCAGCTTGGGGATGACACCTGGCACGCACTTTTCCCTGGCTACTTCGATCCTGATCTAACTCGTGCATTTGATTCATTCAATGTCTGGGACTTGCACACCGTTGACAACGGCGTGACTGCAAACCTCCTCCCGCTTCTGCATTCTGAAAATTCTACGAAATGGGATGTCATCTTCGGTCATTACCTCGGTGTCGATCACGCTGGCCACCGATATGGCCCGAACCATCAAGCTATGGCCGCAAAGCTCGATGAGATGGACCGGGTCATTCGCGAAATCATGGCCAAACTCGATGACAAAACGCTATTGGTGGTGATGGGTGATCACGGCATGGACTCCAAGGGAGACCACGGCGGTGAATCCAATGATGAGGTCGATGCGGCTCTATGGATGTACTCTAAAAGGGGCATCTTCGGCCGCACAAGTGCAGAAACAGCCAAACCTCCTATGCTCGCTCGCGATCGCTTTGTCCCTCAGATCGACCTTGTACCCACGCTGTCCCTTCTTCTCGGAATGCCTATTCCCTTTAACAACCTCGGCTCGCCGATCGAGGAGGCTTTCATAGGGCCCAAGGGGAACGATTGGAAGAACGTAATGTCTGTGAACCGGTTGACTTCCGCTCAGATTAAGAGATATCAGCGGGAGTACACAGCTTCGCGAGGTGCCGAGGACAGCCACCAATCCCAGTCCGAGGACCTTTGGAGGGCGGCCGAAAACAGCTGGCAGAAGCTTCCTAGGATCGGTCGGCCCAGTCAGGCAACTTTGCTTTCCGTTTCCGAGTCTTACAAGGACTATCAACGATACACTCTCCAGCTTTGTCGTTCGTTGTGGGCTAAATTCGATGTACCGAGCATGATCCAAGGTGTTGCGGTCCTTTCTGCCGGCATTGTCTTGCTGGTGTTTTATGCACGAAGCCTCAAAGCCGACCAGACGGACATTACCAAGTCTCTTCTTACTTCTGTTGGAACAAGCTCTGCTGTCGGTGTCGTCGTGGGTGCCTTTCTGTCGTTCTCGGGCTTTGCGGAGATGCCAGTAGTCGAATCATCCGCTCTGTTGGCCGCTGCGGGAAGCATAGTTGGCGCTTCATGGACCATTCTTGCCGGGTCGGCTGGTGTGTCCCTGCCTCTACCAAGCAGTCTCTGGGGCTGGTTGGCTGTTACCTTCACGATCACGCAGTCCATCGGATTCGCCTCCAATTCCTACACAATCTGGGAGGATGAGATTCTCCTATTTTTCCTCTCCACCTTCGGTGTTCTTGCGGGTGTATCCTCGATGCGACAGAAATCAACCGCCGACAGGGTTCTGGGCGTCTATCACTCCATCCTCTTCGTCATCCTCGGAAGGATTGCATCTTTTTCTCGCTTGTGCCGCGAGGAGCAGATGCCTTTTTGCCGTTCGACGTATTACGCATCTGCCACTTCTTCGACTTCTGCACCCTGGCAGCTCGCTGTACCATTCCTTGTGGCGCTTATCCTTCCCACTGTTGTACGGTCATTTTATGCCGGATCCAAGTCTTACGAAGGCGCCGCTACTCTCTGGATTGGTTTAGGGTTCCGACTGGGACTCTTCATAACTTCCGTCTTCTGGGTGCTTGAGGGGGCAGATGATGGCGAATGGCTGCCCTTGAGCAAGGAGACATTGAAGTCAGTTAGGGTGTTCTTGGCCCAGCTCGTACTAGCTCTCGCATTTGCCGCTGGGACAACAGCCTTCATCTATTCCAAGCCTTGCATCAGCATTAATGTCAGTCAAGGGAACGCGGAACCGGAAAGCAAAGGCAAAAACGTCGTGCCACCCCAGCCAGCAGGACGCACCACCGTTACGATCCTCGGATTTGGCAACGTGCATGGAACTCGCTACTTCCTCCTCGTAGTCAATTTCTGTTTGGGGATCATCCTTCTGCAGAAACCCATGGGTCAGGGTGCCATGGGTCTTTTGCTTTGGCAAATTCTCTCACTGCTAGAAATATTGGATACCAATGGTCTCGTCCTTGGCAATTCAGCTATTGGGCCGATCGTTTTGGCTCTTCTCGGCTCCTTCTATTACTTCAAGACTGGTCACCAGGCTACACTGAGCAGCATCCAATGGGAGACTGCCTTCATCCCTCTCTCCTCCGTTCAATATCCTTGGTCCCCAATTGTTGTGATCCTCAATACCTTCGGCGCACAAATTCTTACTGCAATCGCTGTTCCTCTCACCGTTCTCTGGAAACGCCCTCTCCAACTCAGCGACCAATCCTCTTCGTCTCCGAAGTCCAACAACCCTTCGATTAGGCTCCTCTCTGATGTTGTGCGAGCCGCATGCACCTACATTCTCTTCTTTGCGACTATTAACCTGGCCACCACCATGTGGGCTGGCCATCTTCGCCGGCATCTCATGCTGTATCGGATCTTCAGCCCTCGTTTCATGATGGGAGCCGCCGTGCTAGGAGTCGTGGACATTGTTCTCATCATTTTCTCCGTGGCTGGTGTGCGGTGGAGCACCTTGAGCGTAGGAGAGATCTTTGGGTGGTAGTGATCTCTTCTAGTTGATGGCGGATATTAATTACCAGCCATCCTGGCTTTCCTTTGTTTACTGCCAGATGATACCCGAAACGTGAGTCCCCTTGCCTAGCGTTCCGGCCTGAGGAAAACTGTAATTTATGGTATCTCCGTATACCGTTCTTTTTTCAACTTTGGGGATGCTTGGATTGGTGAGAAAACTAGGCCGGAAACATTCTACACCCTTCCTTATTATTTCTTTTAGCTTGCATATATTTATATTCCTCGAATAATACATAACTTTGATCCAACTCCTAAGCACAGAAAATACTAAGCGGAACGTAATACCCGAGATTCCAAACCAGGCAAGCGGCTTGCTGTTGATCCTGTCTATGTCAAGAAGACCCATGGAACTGGCACGTTAGGGGCACCATCATGCCCGAATTAAGGTTTCATTTAGGAACCTGCTCGATATCAGCTGTGATCTCACACTTTATAGCCATATCAGCATGTATGTATCTGATCCATTTGGGTTGGCTAACTGATTATATGTCATTGTTCCGTCCAAGCGTTTCCGAGTGTCATTACTTGCTTCCTGGAGGCTTAATCCAATGACATAAAACAGCGCGTTTTCAGTCACAGCCCACAAAAGGCGAGGTGAATACTATCCCGAGGGTTGTGGACAGTACAGATAAGCTTTATACAGAAGGCAAAGTCAGACTTACAATCAGGATTTGGGATGAAACTGCAGGTAGTAAGGTTTTCCACGGGACCAATAGAATAGTACTACCTGTTCGCTATCTGAAAAAGAGTTGTGACAGTGGGTGATATTCACACAGGGCTCTAAAGTGCTGGTCGTAATGCTGATTCTATTGATACACCAATCCACGGACCATAAAACCAGCGTTGGGGGCCAATGGCCAAATAGGCGCAGGCAGCTGCTCTGCGAGCTGTACTATGCCGCTTGGTTCCATGATAATGGAACATCCTATCAAATCGTCATTTCGCTCTTCTCATGCTTATGCGGATCCCTCAAT